CCAGGAACAAATACCATCAAATATACATCTAGATTGTATTGTTACCTTAAGACATTTCTTCCAGTACCGACAACAAGGTCTATGGGCCGGTGGGAGGAGTTTGTTGTTGATAATTATACAGTATACATTTTTAAGATGACAATCGAATCATCAGTAGGGAAGATAATACTCGGAAACTTCTCACAATACTCCGCAAGGTGGATAGCCCACCTGCTGTTAACCTCCTATATTTCCTACTTCTGAACTTTACCTTGTACTGTACCCTTCTTGCACCCTCAGAGCCAAGGCTCTCTTCTCTCCGTATCACCGACCAACCTACTCATAGAAAAGTATATATCTTAACCTGTTGGTGACTAGGGTGTTTATTAACCTAAAATAAACCCATGGAAACCTTAGTTGTTGAAGCATAATTATACACAACAACAACAGAAATGTCTCATATAAGTATTGAAAGTTTTATCTGATTAGACTACAGTACGCACTACCTACTCATAAGTGTCAGTTGTCAAAAACACAGACGTACATAAAACAACCGTCCAATGAGAACATATTTTCCATAATTTAATAAGGTTTCAATGGGGGAACAGTGCTTGAGAACCCTGACCGTTGAAGCAACCAAGCATATGAGCAACGATTATAGTGTAACGGAAGACGTTGAAACTGTACATGAGTATAGCCTGTGGGTGAGAAGGATGGATACGTAACAAGCGAACTGTGTCACCAGGTGTACTGTACCAAGTAGTCTCATCACGTACAGTACCCAAGCAGTAGGTATTTCCCGGTTACTGGACCTGGTGTACAGTATATACAAATTGTGTTTCGTCAACATAAAGTGATTCAGTTCCGAGACAATCTCAGTATTGTGTGATTACTTTTGATATTGACAACGGGGTAAGGTGTGTGTGTGTGTGTGTGAGTGTGAGACCACGTGTGAAGGTGCAACAGCCTGAGGTGGGTGTTGTGATGGTCTCGCCGAGGAGGCCGCCCACTGACCCACATTCGTATACAGATAATGTACCCGTCCACGACCCGGGGCTCCCTATGATCCCCGTCCCAGCTGCATGTCTCCAGATTTTAAGAGTTTATTTGGATTACCTGAAGATTAGACACCTCAGCTAACCTAATCTGCCTACGAATAATTTTTGTCACTAATCTGAATCCGGTGGTTTTTTTTCATAATTTGTTTAAGAGATTCGAGAATGACATCACCTGAAGATTAGACACCCCAACTTATTTAACCTGAATATTAACCACCCTGACGCTGCCTGTGGGGGGGGGGGGTTAAGTTGGGTTAGGTTAACGTTAAGGTGGTTAATCTTCAGGTGACTAACAGCAACACCTACTATTACTTCTACTAATAACAACAACTACTACAGCTATTACAATCTGTGTAGTCCAGTCCTGGGAAACGACTCCGTGCACAATGCCGTCGTTCTAGGTGACAACCACTAGAAAGCAGAGTGTAATTTCTCCAGTGATACAACAAAAAAACACCTACATGAAATACCGAGTGGTTGACCTACAGTAACACACACACACACACACACACACACACACACACACACACGTTTTAATGGCAAGAGTCATATACTGTACGCGCATTAGAGGTTAAAATTAAAAGGCTTATAGAAGCTCCTCTCCAAAATAGCGTAGTGTTAATGCAGTGCTCACGGCAACACCATCATCATGAGTGTTATGGGGGAGGTAACGGGGTGTATCATAGTGCTAGGTATTTTTCTTGTGTGTATATTTATTTTCAGAATTTTTGTTTTTAGATTACCTGAATATTAGCGCCCAGCTTAATTTACCCGAGGATTAAACATTCTAACGCTAACTGTGGAGGGAATAGGTTAGGTTAGCATTATGGTGGTTAGATCGTTTATGTAGATTATGAACAAGAGTGGGCCGAGTACTGACCCCTGGGGAACCCCCTGGTTACACGACCCCACTCAGATTTAACACCATCTACACTGACCCTCTGCGTTCTATCGGTGAGCCATGATTTTATCCAATTTAAAACTTTCCCCTCGATACCATGAGCCTTAATTTTTCTCAGAAGCCTCTGATGCGGTACTCTGTCAAATGCTTTGCTAAAGTCTTAGTAAATAACATCGTAATTTTCGTCATTATCTACTACCTTCGAAGACTTTCCTAAAAAATGTCAGCAAATTTGTAAGACAAGATTTTCCCTTTGTAAACCCATGTTGAAAGTCGTAGATTAATTTGCTTTTCTCTAAATGCGATCGGATGCTATCTGCTATAATTGATTCAAGAAATTTCCCCACTACTGACGTCAAACTGATCGGCCGGTAATTTGACGCTGATGCTCTGTCTCCCTTTTTGAATATGGGTACTACATTTGCTTGTTTCCACAAGTCTGGTACAACTCCTGTGTCTAATGATTTTGTAAATAAGTTTACGAGGGGTCCGCTAATCTGTTCCCTACACTCTTTCAAGACTCGAGGAAAATTTCATCCGGCCCTGGGGATTTTGTCTTCTTTAGTTTATTTATCTTCTTAAGAACATCCTCTTTTCTGATAGTGATATTCTTTAATTTCTCTTCTTCCTTTCCCTTAAATATCAGTTCCACCTCTGGAATTTCATCGCGAATTTCTTCTGTGAAAACTGATAAGAAGTAGCTGTTCAATGCTTTGCTTATTTCTCACTGCCATTTATCACTTCTCCCCTCCCTGACTTTAAAGGCCCAACTTTGTCCTTGACCTTTGTTCTATATACCTGGAAAAATCCCTTGGGATTCGCCTTGGATTCTCTTGCTATTTTGATTTCATAGTCTCTCTTTGCTTTCCTTACATTTTTCTTAACATTCCTAGATAGTTCATTATACCTATTTCTGAGCTGCTCCTCCCCTCCCTTTAATTTCTTATATATTCCTTTCTTTATTCCTATGTCATGTTTAAGTTTTCTGGTCATCCACCTTGGCTCATTCTTATTTGACCTAATTTTTCTGTATGGTATATTTTGTTCTTGTGCTTTATGTAGTATACTAGTGAATATATTATAGTCATGATCAATTGTTGTGTCATCTATGACCTCACCCCTTCCTACTGGGAACTGACGTGACTGTTCCCAGGTGACCTCACCTAGGTACCTTCTTAACCCCTGATAATCCGCCAACCGAAAGTTTGGGACTCTGACCATATTGTCATTGTTTTTCGTTTCCCAATTTAGGGTGAACCTGATTTCTCTGTGATCACTGTTGCCTAGTTCTTCCCCTACTGTGATATCTCTGATAATATTTTCTGTATTTGTTAATACTAGGTCTAATATATTGTCACCTCTAGTAGGTTCAGTAATAAGTTGTTTCAAAAAATTGTCCTCTACTGCGTCTAGGAAGTCTTCAGATTCATAGTCACCTACAATGTTGTCCCAGTCAATATTTCTGAAGTTGAAATCCCCCATAATGCACAGGTTGTTATATTTTGCTGCCCTACTCATTTCCTGCCATATGGGCTGAGCTGCTTCTTTCCCAAGACTTGGGAAGCCTATAAACAACTCAGAAGATATTACTCAGTCGGTGTTCATACCTGGAGCTGGCGGATGCTCGCCCCACTAAGGGTCACAGCCTAAGGTTAAAGACGCCATAAGTTCAGAAAATGTTGTCAGGGCAGCAACGAGGTGGTCGAGAAGTTGATAGGGGACGTCCTTCCTTACGGAGATACGTAGTCCATGTGCACGTCCTCGGAATGGCAAACTTTTTGGGGGTGAGAATTGTCTATTGTCTAATAGTCTATTGGAACATTCTGCCAGAGAGTGTTGTGACGGCGCCGAGTGTGAGCTCATTAGACTTGACCAGCACTGGAGCAGGTACATATACATTCTGGAACCAGTATATGCCCAGTACTTGCCAACAGTACGTAACATAGACAATTATTAGCGATGAGGAGAAGGTAAAGTTGGCATAAAACCTCTCCCCGAACGCTGGTTAACTACAAACACCGCGTTCACCAATCCATTTGTCTCAGTAGTGTAAAGGGTGACAATAAGAGTGAGGTGACTGACATTTGGGGATTGGCAGAGAGTGGCATAATGACACGGAGCCGCAGGAGTTATTATATGACCTTCACAGTATACAACATTATATCAACATATATTCATAGTTTACTTATACATACTCCCCAGCGGCGTGAAGTTGACTATCACTGTCTCTGCATATTTAATGGTATCTTCTCAGTATTCGGGAAAACGAGGTTCCTGGTCCCTCATACAAAACATCCCAAATAACTGAAAATTATCATATGTGAGTCTTGTTCAAAACGGGTAATCGCCACTGCACGAATAATTACAGACCGGTGAGTTTGACCTGTAAAGTGTAGAAAGTGGTTGAGAGCAACATACACGATTGATCATTTATTACGAAACAACCCTGTGAAAGTTTGCCAGCCTAGATTCTTGCTTGGACTCTCCTGCTGGACACAGCTGGTGGAGTTATTGGATGTGTGGTTACAGATTTTAGAACGTGGTGGTAATGTTAATAGTATATATCTTGATTTTACCCATGCAAAGCTGAAAAATAAATTGAACGTTAAGTTATTCCAGGAAATTTAAACGTGAGCAAATTATGAAGACTTTTAAAGGACGATCTCTGGTCACAGGAGCGGGTGCTGAGACTTGACCTTGTAAAGTACAGGAGAACTCACCTTGAACTTAGTAATAGTACGGACTACAGTATTACCACAAGCCTCAACATAACGAAGACATTATCCAAATTGAAACTAGATTTGAGAGAGATCTAGGTGTTTGTGTTTTGATAACAAATTGAAGTTCTTAGTTCATCATGACTTTGCTAATAAGATAGTTGGATTAATATGCAGATGGTCGGTCACTGGTAAGTACTGTTGCCTCGCTTGGTGTACTGTAATTTATTTTTTCGTGTTAGTTCCTTAGCATTAACCATTTTTATAATAATCACCCCATGTTTCCCTCACGGCCCCAAAACACTTGAGGGGTCCTCCCTGACCACCCCGTTTTCTGTGTCTCATCAACAGTAGTGATGGCGGCCCCCAACCAACACCAGGCTGTCAATACCACCTCACTCTCTAACAACTATGAATTTATCTGTGAATTCCGTGCCAGCGGGGTCGTTCCTGTGGTCAAGTACAGAAGTAAACGTACAGGGATGCACATATTGTTGGCGAAGGTGGAGGGACCTCTTGTCAACGGGTATTTTACTGTAGGTGAGTGAGATTCAGGAGAGTGAACCTGTTAAGAAATGCTTATGGTACCTTTTAATCCTTCCATCCAGGTGTATGATCGGGTTATATATGGGAGTTTATTTTTAATGCCTTCTATGCCTTTGTTGACCATAAAAAGTAACATTTATTGAAATTGTGTGGAAGGAAATACTTTACTATGGTTGTGTCCCATAACCAGCAGTTGTAGGGGAAAAAAATAGGAGGTCGATGTCTTCTTGCCCCTTGAAAACATTTTTACCCAAATTTAACCATTAAAAGTTAGGTTGGCTTATATAATTACCCATAACTCTTATAATGTAGCTGTAGCTGGTCAATTGTTGGAAATGTCTTGGATGTGAACAATGGTCATAGATTAGTGTTCAGGACAGAGAAAGTAGTACAATAAATGTAATTAGAATGAAAAACTAAATCCTATTTTGGGGACTTTTAATGATGTATGGAAGCATTTGTCCTTTATAGAATAATTACCTCAATTTTAGGGTTAAGGGGCACAACCATTGTTAAGTATTACCACAATGTTGTATGGGGTTAACCAGAACAAGTTAGGGTAATACTGTACTGCATCCAGACCACCAAACTGAGGATGTTTGTAAAGATAATGCTTCTTACCTCATGAGAAGGGCAACAGTTATGAGGAACACGTTTTTATTAAATGGTATTATTTTTTAAAAATTGTATATAAAAAATATCTTGTGAATAAAAAACTAATGAAGTGTTACTGTGGCTAGAACAAAACGTCCTGCATGTGAACAGTGACAATGGCATTGTAGCTCATGGCTGTGCAATATATTTAGGACAGAAATAAATCTTAAAAATAATATGAAAATGAGCTCCTCATAAACATTATGACATCATGAGGTAAGAAAGCCCATATCTTCTATAGTGAAATTTCCTCAAGTTGGTAGGTTAAGTGTCTCAGTACTGTATAGTCCCTTGTTAGGGCTTGGTAGTGCAGTACAGTATGTGGGTCCCAGCTGATGACCACTCAAGTACCTCTACCTTCAGTTAAAAGTCACTTTGGTATTATTAGTTTCCTTTCTTTTCATACAATAATGGATTTAAAGTTGTACCATATGGTAGCCTCTCAATATTACAAATTAGGTACAAAAAATGAAGAAATGTATACTGTATCTCATATTACAACACTTGTGTGTCAATTTTCAAATGGTCAGAGAACTGTAGTTGAAAATCACTCATGCTTTGGTCCTTACCTATACTAGGAAAATTACAGAACAGTACTGAAATGTAGTTGCCAGTTGCGATAAGTCATCCACTTCATCCTCAGTCACAGAGTAGGATTTCAGGATTCACTTTTTTTTTATAATATACAGGAGGTCCCCGACTTACAAATGTCTGACTTATGAACACCGCCAGTACGAACGGGTTAAACTTGAAATTTACAGTATTTTATTTACCCGACGACTTATTTTTTACTTTCATTTACTGTATTTTGTCATTCTATTTCTTCTTTTGTCTTAAATGATTTAGATGTACTATATAAGGCCTTAGGTTATGATATAGTGTGATTTTAAACATTGTTCTGTAAGTATGGTATGCACACAGCATGTGTTCCGACTTGCGTACAAATTCGACTCGAGAACATCCTCAGGAATGGAACCCGTTTGTAACCCGGGGACCCCCTGTACTGTACTTTATATATGGTATTTTATCGTTACAATAATTTTAGGATTATCTCGGCTTATAACATCTCACATTTACAAATTTTACTCCTTACAATAATGATTTATCTTTGGAATATGATACTGTACTGTATACAATACTGTATTATGTGTATTTCAGCAACTGAGGCGCACGATGATGATGGATTGCCACACACACTGGAACACTTGGTGTTTCTAGGGAGCGAAAAGTATCCATTTAAGGGTGTGCTTGACCTGCTAGCCAACCGCTGCCTTGCATCAGGAACCAATGCTTGGACAGGTAATGCTCTTTTTAGACCCTGACATAGGGGTCTATTACAGGCTTTGTACAGTACTGTATTATTGTTACCTTTTCTAAGATCTATTGCTGTTATTCCTAGTAACTACTGTACTGTATTTGTTTCCCAAAGGTACAGTAAACCCTTGGTAAATAGTGACCTCTGTAGCTGTTATATGCATTAACAGGACAGAAATTTGGGACTTTTTATAGCGAACACATTGGATAAGGGGACACATGTGCATGTATTAATTGGCTTTCAGATTTAACACAATTGATTCCAACAACCATCCCCTTGTACAACTGGGCTATACAGTAGCTACATCACCCAAGCGGCTAATGAGCCGATCAGTGGTGAAGAGGATAAAGGTACAAGTAAAACTAGAGAACTTAAGATAAGATGTCTCCTAGTTTATCTGCAGCCCCTGTAAATATTGGGACCTGTGAAAAGGCAAATTGCCAAAGGCTGAGAACTGTCAGTCTATTCTGCTGTGGCATTTCACATGTGTCCCACAACCCAGGCAGGGTATAAGATAGGCCTCAGGCTCAATAAGTTTTCAGTTCCCAGCTCTTTCAACATCTTAAGGGGGGGGAAAAGGGATATCAATCACCTGATCCATGCTTGTTATAAAGTGAGATTTCTGGACCAGTCCATCATTTATAACTTAGTCTGTGGATTGGACAACTCACACACACTTAGCCAGCAAATAATGGTATGAAATTGGAGGCATTAACTCCAGGCTATAGTATCACTGTCTCCAGAGACAGACCTCTTAGGAGGGCAAAGGAATACACAATACCCATGGTTAACATCCAGAAGTTGATTAGACCAGTTTACTACCAACTGTACCTGTGATTTGTCTTTCCCAGACCAATGGAATGAGATGATCTTTATTCATTATCAAGCCTGAGAAATCATCTCTCATGCTAACACTTGAAGTTTGGTTTGTTGACACCTTTAATACTTCAGAGGAGATTAACCCACAACAGTGAGGCTCTGACACTCTGAGATTTAAGAGCAAAGAGAAACATTGTTGAGAAGAGCATGCTGTAATCACCAATGCCATCATCTAAAAGGTGACCAATGTACAGTCACAATCCAAAGTTTCGACAATTCCCTGGCTGGGTGTTCACCGAGGCCAGGGTAGAGGTAAGGCTGGGTGATCGGACTCAGACTAGTTCAGCAATGTGGTAACGAGGCACTACAATGGTGAGATTCACATTCCACCACCACAACACTCCGAGACTCATAGCACACGAGCTCAGGAAGGAACGTATTACGAACTTTGACATGGCATGAACTTGCATAACAAATGTATTCATAACATTGTTGCCACACATAGCAATAACATGTTAAGATTGGAGCATGAAAAACTTTGCCCGGTCCCAAAACACTGGCTTGGAACCACTAGATGTGAGTCCTCGTATTACACTGAATCATCAGAGCAGCATATATAAAGGGTGGCCGGCGGCCGAATTTCGCCAAGAGGGAGTGAGCGGTCAGTCGACAAGGTGAGGCCTATACATGTATGGATATTACCATAACCCTGGGAATATTATGGTTTAACACATACTAGGAATTCATATAGTCATGTTTACAATATTTAATGGTGTATCAGTAACTACACTGGAGTATTTGGGCTTGGAATGTTGCAATTCACATAAATCATGGTATCACCCAAACAATTTTTGTCTGGTCCGGAGCAGCGACTTTGCCGAAGACCTCGACCCTCAGCGTAGATGCCTGGCTGTGTATCATCATTAGTGACTACTTCTTGGTCACTTGCCTTGTTTCCTGTCTACTGCTGCTTTTAGTTTTTAAATTTCACTTCATAATGTCTCGGATTATGCGAGTTATGGCACAGAGGTCACCAATATTACAACTAGTTACGCATATGATTATTTTTTATTTTTCACCTGAATGATGAATATCTATGACGTCCTAATTATGGTTTTTGGTAACATGGAGCTAATTTCCAACATGATACTTTTAGTCTATCAACACATGATGTTTATCGATACGGCCTTACCTGGTCTCGGCAAACACCCAGCCAGGGGGGGTGTCGAAACTTTGGATTGTGACTGTACTTCTCCCTCAAAGGAGAAGGGAGTCAACAGAATCAGAATGGCTAGAATTAGCAGGTATCTACCAGTAAAAGAAAGCAAGTTTCCACTCCTAATAATTAAATCCCCATTGGAATCACCAGATGTTGGATGAAAGTATCCCTCAAAATTATTTACATACGTACAGTATATGACATTAGGTTGATTCGCCTATAATTTAATACAGCACACTTTATTCACAGGTACTGTACTGTGCAACACAGATTGTGATACTGTATTCTAGTTACCAATATCACAGCTTATTTTTCCCTTCTGCAATTTATCTTTTAGCTCTTTATAATCATATTAATGGATTTTAGAAGATTATGATGATGATTTATAACAGTGCAAGAGTGGCAGCAGTTTCTACTCCCCTGTGCTTAGATATGATTATCCAACATTCTTACAAGTAAACAAGCAGTCTGCCCTTCACAAACAACAGAAATGCATGTCTGATGCACAAAAAAACCGTAATACAGTACATAACAAAGAAGTACGAAATTAAACATCATACAATATTTACACAGTACACTTCACAGATATTTTGTGGTTTAGCATAAGCTGCAGTCACACGCGAGTGTCTACCCAGAATAAATCCACCGTAGCGTTGATTTTTCAACGAACTCCTCAAGTTGTCTCTACAGCGACAACTTATTTGTTGTCGAAAGTGGGACGATACGGAGCATCTGAAAATCCACGGAACGGTGGGTTGAAATTTGCTGTAGAGAATCTATTGTATTATTAAAATTTACAGTTCTTATTTTATTATTAATGTTAAAATGTAAAATAAAATATAAAAAGTATATTTCAGTTACAAAGCACAAGCAAATTTGTCAGAGTAAATAAGAAATAATAGTAATAAGAATACATTACGACGCTTTTCATTTGACTCTAAGAGTACTCGCGTCACTTTTGTAAACAAACTTCGCTTGAACGCTACAATCGTTTCTTTTTCTTCTTGGTCTTCTTCAACAGGACCACGCATCTCACTAAAGTGGTTAATGCTATGATAGAAACATACAATGAAGCCATCCTGCTCTGCAACTGAGCTCAATCAAACTAGCCACATGAACTGGGCGCCTGGCCGTGGTTCCTTTCGCCAGTGTGACCAGTGTGTGGATCGTACCGTTAACTTATTGCCTGTGGATCAATATGCGGTTTTATTCTGTCGTTTGTGATTGTGGCATTTAATTTGCCTGTACAGTACTGTAAGTGTGGTGCACAGTCAATATAGCACAGAACATAGACAAAGTTGCTTATGGGATCATCATTACCAAACGTCCTTGAGATAAATGTACAGTATATGTCAGGTGCCTTCAACAGAGCTCAGTCATGTTAATATTGTTATTATTATCTATTGTATCTGTTTTTTGGCTAAATAAACTGTTCCAATATCAATTCAATAAATTTTGTTTCTCTTAAAAGTTAATTTTTAAATTATTGGACAGAATTGGCTGACTACATTTAAATTATAATCTTATACTGTAATTTTAAGGTAACGGTACTGTAATTGTTTATAATGAAATATCACTGTTGAACTGTACCAAATTCCCTCCACTTCCTTCACTCAATCATCTTGAGATTCATTTCTTATTAGAATTATTATACAGTGAACCCTCACTTTACGCAGTTAATTCAACCCACGGCGGTCCGCGTAAAGTGAGAAACGCGTAAAGTGAACAACATAACATATGGGATTAATTGAAATAGAGACCGGGCCGACCCCCAAACTCCACTTTTTCAGACACAATACCTACGTTGTAGTAAAAATAACTTCTAAATTTTATGGTGGTATGCACACACAATTAATAATTAAGAGAAATATCAATAATATTAGGTTTTTTAACACTGACATTAGTAGAAAAGATGGCTGGGCACACGGGGATGGGTGGTTGGTTCCAAGGCAGAGGGCAGATTAGTGGCCCTCACCTGTATCACTTGTATCAATTGTATCACTATCCACCACAGAGGCTTGCAGGGCCTCTTTGTCAAACCCCTCAAAGTCCATATAAGTCCATATCCTCACTATAATTATCACTATCACTGACTTGGGCCGGCTGTGGTGGGTGAAGAACTCGGTAATGTTTTGATGACTGGGCGACCTTGTGCGCACCCTGCTCGCTCCGCTCTCCGCGTAAAGGGGTACACGCACCATGGAATGTGAGCATTCCGGTTTCGGCAGGGTACCGCGTAAATGTGGAAACGTGGAATGTGGGACAGCGTAAAGCGAAGGTTGACTGTATACTGTATACCTCTTGAGTACAATACAGTATTGATTTGTTGCAAAGGTACAGTATACCAGTACTTCAGTGTTCTGGTGCAGCCTTTATTTAAACAAAGACTGTGACCTAAAAATGCAGTCATTGTGTTCTCTTAATAATCATATTAGGCTGTCAGAATTGTACTGATTTAACATTTACGCTGGTATATTTCCCCAACAGACACAGACCACACGGCATACACCGTCCAGACGGCCGGCAGTGAAGGCTTCCTTAATTTGTTACCAATTTACCTGGATCACCTGCTGTACCCTACTCTTACTGTAAGTCAAACTAACTGTTATGTCATTCTAAAATAAACAAAAATTTTAAATGACTCGGTCGGTCCTCTCTAATATACCGCCCAAAAATTCTTCAACTTTAATGATTTAAGTTTTGTTGTTTACTCAAGCAAAGTAGTCAGCTGAAAAGAAAGACATATTCATTATGAAGTGATTGGTGAAATTTATGTTTAAAATTAAAGATGCATCAAGTGTCAGTAAATTCTTGTTTTCATTTTGAGTTTCAAGTGATTGAGGTACAAATAAGTTGTACAAATGTGCAAAACTTATTCAGCACAGCATATTGTATACCTCAACAACCTTGTCACTACAACACTATTAGGGATTTATAATATAATTTATGATTTGTCTTTAGAGTCAAAACTACATTAAATTAATCATCTGTTTATTAACATTTATGTTTCTCATAATACATTTTTATTTTATTTTATTAATTTTTTTTTTTTAAACAGGAATCAGGCTTTACCACAGAAGTGTATCATATTACTGGAGAAGGGGAAGATGCTGGAGTCGTTTATTCGGAGATGCAGGCCCGTGAGAATTCTGACAATGACCGTACTTACCGAGCCTTGCTGCAAGCCATGTATCCAGAGCCTAGTGGTTATCGCTCAGAGACTGGTGGCATCATGAAGAACCTTCGAGAGAGTACCTCAAATGAAAAGGCAAGAAATTATATGACTGTTGGTAATCTTGGGTTAACACCTTAAAACTTTTTATTCCATATACTGTACAGTAAACCTTGTGGACTGTCAATACACTAATAATTTATTTTAACAGGGATTTACTAGACTTATGATTTAACATATTTTGTTAGCAGCAGCATTTTTGTGTGTGAAAATTTGTCACAAGTCATGTAATATATTCATCACAAAACTTTTTAGGTCTTGACCTATGTATGGAAGTTTATTAAAAAGTGAACTCCTGTATACATACAGTACTTATGTTGTCCACAATTTTAATTTCATACATTTATTGATGTTTTGCAGATTCAGAATTATCATCATACCTTCTACCGTCCTGAGAATCTTAACGTCATCATCACAGGTCAAGTTGAGCTGGAAGAAGTATTTGCTGCCTTAGAACCTGTGGAACAAAACATTCTTTCAAAGGTAAGTTTAAGTAGAAGGAGTTTGTTACCTGTGATTACTTTGTAACAAGGTTTTATAGTCATGATGCTTCACAGAAGGCATATGATCTTGTTAAAGCCTTTGACAGGACCACCAATTACAGTACAGTGGTCCTTCAATTAACCAACACAATTGGTTCCACAGAGTCGGTTGTTAACCCCAAAAAATTTTAACAATCTGTTATTTCACTGGGATATTGGGTAATTGGTTCCAACTCACTGAAAAAGTATGCATACAAAGTACTGTATTTGGTAACAGAATTAACAAAACATTAAATAAAAACTAAATACAGTACAGTACTGCACTGTACAGTATACTGTAAAATAATAAAAAAAATAGAATACTATATTTTAACGTACTTGAGGTGTGTATGTCGTATACCGGCAGCTTTGTTTACATATCAAACAGGTGATTGTAGAGGCAGTCGATGATGACATGCCAGATTCTTTACAGAGTGCATTGGTTTTAATGCCTTCTTTATGTTTCATCATAATTTCTGCACTGTATATTATCAATATGTTAACTAAAATTCAGAATGACCAATAATTTTAATGTAAAAAATGCAAAAATATTCAAGAGCACAACTTTCTTGATTTATATGCCACTACAAACGAATGAAAGCATAAAGCCAATTACAGTACTGTATTGGCAGACTAGCCGATCAGCTGATGCGCACAACAAAGCGTATTTCTCATAAGGTTTTCGTTAATGGAATTGAAAATCCTTATGGGAGCTAATTCGTCGACCGAAATTTCGTTAATTGGACCGTTCATTAATCGAGGGACCACTGTATAATGCTTTGGATATGGCAGGAGGGTGCTACTTACTATTATTATTATTATTATTATTATTATTATTATTATTATTATTATTATTATTATTTATTTATTTTATTTTATCTTTTATTTTTTCAACTCTCCCTGAATCCATTGTCGCCTAAAAGACACTCTGATACGGATGTTAACATAAAAATCAGGAAAATCACTGTTTCCTCAGAGTGTATGGGTGTTGGGAGGCCTTTCTCAAACCTAGTGCATCCTCTCCTATGGTTTGACCTCTTGGCAGACAATCCAGAAGTCTGACTATAGTACTTAACATTATTTAGCTTAATTTTACATGATGTGTCGACAGGGTTTAACATGGTAGCCTCAGAGTCTTGTACTTAACTCCTTGAGCATGATGACTTTGTTTCTATAGTACAATGAAGTAGCCTAAGATAACCCCTTGAGTTTAATTCCCTGAGTACAGTGTCATCATACTCAAGGAGTTAAATCATCACACTCAAGAAGTTAATAATATCTTACTGGGTTACTTCATTGTACTCAAGGAACTAAGGTGTTGAAGAGGTTGGTTCAAATATCCTTTCAGTTGTTTCATGTGTTGTAAGTTAAGTTTCTATTATTGATCTCTGGTCCTAATGAATTCCATCCCTATGTTAACTGAGACCTCATTGCTAATGTGTGTATGTCATTGCATATTATCATACTCTTATTTGAATAATAAATGTCATTGGTAAAGTTTTCTTTTAATGATTAGGTTTATCAAGGATCAATCTTCATTTATATCACAGGGAGACCGTGGGCCTTACACCAGACCCTGGCAGAGTCCTGTGCCACCCTTATTAAACTCAGTGGATGAGCTGGTGCAGTACCCCAGTGATACTGAAGATACTGGCATGGTTATTGTTTCCTGGCGAGGACCCTCTGCTGTTGAGCAGGTCAATGAGTGAGTATTTACATTAATTTACATATTGTATTTGTTATCCAAGATACATTGAGGGGAAAATATTGAGGTGGTTTGTGCACCAGCTGTCATTTTGTTTATTTTCATGATGCATAGTTTCTGTTTTATGTTGGGTTTACAGTATGTCCCGTTGTTTAGTGGAATAATCTATTTTGAATCTTGTGTGCTCAAGCTTTTAACCTTATACTGGTTACCTTAAGTATATGTGTCTTTTAGGCTGATTCTTAGTGTTCAAAAATAGTAGGAAATTATTTATTTGTTTTACTTGTGTTGTTACATTTTTCAGCTGCTGTTGCTTGTTATATTGTAATTGCAAGGCAGTCAGAATCAAAAGTTAACATTGTCTCTTCCTTCAATCATTGCCATTCAGTCATTCTTGCTGCCATGACTAATGTGTTTTGATATACTTAGTGTTGTAACAAATGTTTTCTAATATGGTGTAATCTATCTCCAACCTTGCTCCCCTTTCCAGTATTCTTTTGTTCACACTTTTCTCACTGCCTCACCCATAAGCATATTGAACAGCCTTGGCAGTAATACAGATCCTTAACAAAGTCTTATGCTTCAACCTTCCTGTGAAAACACGCGACAGCTATTATCAGTTTCTCAATTAAAAACTGTTTGTTCTGTGTCAGCTCCATAACTGTACACTGTATACATAAACAAAAGCAACAATTTTCAAAATTTTCACAAAAATTCAATTAAATATACCAGGATAAAATAAGACAAATGACATGTCACTATATCAAGATTACCTTTCCTATGTCTCTTACCTTCTTTACTCTTATACCTGTACTTTGAAATATATTTTTAATATGTAGAAGCCTCTTCTTATCCTTTACAGCATAGGTAGTAGGCAGCTACCAAACAGGGAGGTACTACTGCCTGGGAAGATATTGGAAGCATAATGTGTTGTCTAATGGTAGACCCTGCTGCCATATGGCGTCACGAAAATTGTGACCAAGTCCCAGGTTGCTGATCTGACTTTCTGCCTCATTTACACTCAGTTGCAGGGTCTCAATTGTTTCTCTTGCTATTGACAACACAACATACATATATTGTTTCTCACTCTTCATCTTTTTTCATTTTAGTATTTCTTTATGGAGCAGCGTTTATTAGTACTACATTTTCAGGTTGAGCAGACTCACTGTGGGTCAGTGACCTGTGCCCAGGTGGGCTAATCCCCATAAAAAAAAATGTAGTAAGCAGGTGTCCCCATTGATATCTGTCGTAAGCAGGTGTCCCCATTGATATCTGTAGTAAGCAGGTGTCCCCATTGATATCTGTAGTAAGCAGGTGTCCCCATTGATATCTGTAGTAAGCAGGTGTCCCCTTTGATATCTGTAGTAAGCAGGTGTCCCCATTGATATCTGTCGTAAGCAGGTGTCCCCATTGATATCTGTAGTAAGCAGGTGTCCCCATTGATATCTGTAGTAAGCAGGTGTCCCCATTGATATCTGTAGTAAGCAGGTGTCCCCTTTGATATCTGTAGTAAGCAGGTGTCCCCATTGATATCTGTAGTAAGCAGGTGTCCCCATTGATATCTGTAGTAAGCAGGTGTCCCCATTGATATCTGTAGTAAGCAGGTGTCCCCAATCATATCTGTAGTAAGCAGGTGTCCAATAATATCTGTAGTAGGCAGGTGTCCCCATTTTGCAATATAGCTATAGTATGCAGATGCCTCGCTTTATGACTTGCTTGTATCTCTAATCAGTAGGCATATGTGTATGAAGAAATACTTATAAGACGTTGCACATTATGTCCACAGACTGTTGAGTATGGGAGTCTTGATGGAGTACCTAACACATTCTTCTGTGTCTCCACTGCCCAGTGTCTTTGTTGAAACTGAAGATCCTCTCTCCAGTAGTGTAAGGACTTAAAGCTTTGTTCTCCCACAGTGAAGATTTATTTGGAAAAAATTTGGAATATTTATTTTAAAAATTTTGACATTCTTTCAAGGATTAACTATTAAAGAATAAATTTAACCTTGTCTCACCACTTTATGGCAGTGCCAGTTGATAATTAAATTTTTTTTGTGTTCTAATGTTTTTGTTTGTAACAGGTCCATCATAGTTGCTACGAAAATTCCATTTCTGCCTGCTACTTTGAGTTCAGCGGGGTACCACGTCAGAAGATTGACGATGTGAATCCTCTGCTCATGGCTACTCTGACACAATTGGCTACTGGCCAAACCACCATAGATATGCGAATTATGAAAGACATTCTTATTAACTTGATGTTGAGACAAGATAGTCGTTTAGAAACTTCACCTCATGCCACAATTGCTGACCACATAATCGGAGACGTGCTTTATGGAAATACCTGTGAACATGTAAGTTGCATCAGGGAAATATTGTAGCTGAAAACTGTTGTTTCTACAAGCTATTAAAAATTTGTCCAGGTTATTTTGGTGTAGTTATCATGGCAGGATTCAGGGAAATTTATACTGAAACAATTGGTCTGTAGTTATTAACCCTTAAGCCCCGGGTTAGGGTGCTGATAGCAGTACCTCCCACCCGGGGTTAAATCGAGAAAAATCAAATTTTCCAAAAATAATTTTTAACGTTTTAAAATGATAAAACAAAACAAAAAATAAATAAGAAAAACTATATATTGACCCTCGAGGAACTTCTCTGGAGGAACTTCTCTGGCCGCGCAGAGGGAGGGAGGAGGGGGAGAGATAAGGAGACAGTGTTGGTTTGACAGCTGACGATCGTGGTCCCTTGGCACTTAGCAGCTATTTTTAGCTCTCCTTTGTGTCCGAAGTGGCCAATAATGTATGTATTTACTGATTTTAATACTTATTTACTATAAATAATTCATTTATAATATTTTATTAGCATATTTTTTCATAAAAAAAGTGCTTGGCAACACTCACCAGTGTGTCGCCAGTCTGTCTGGCTTTGTGTTAGGTAGAGCAAGTAATGCATAAAATAATAATAATTCCACAAATAAATACATTTATAACATAATCATACAGTAATACTACCCTACAATACAACCTTTATCAATATTACTTTAATACAACATGATAAAATCGACAAACAATGAAAATTAAACAAACAAAAGTAGGTAATTACATTCAGGAAGCTTCCCTGTGGCCGAGGTGTGGCGTAACAGGCAAATAGTCACACTGGAACCTGATAACCCACGCTGGGCATTTAAACAGTGGCTGGAATAGTCACCCGGGGCCTAAGGGTTAATTAATTTACTCTTTGAAGAGTTTATTTCACTATATGCATGTTTCTTTATGTTAGAAAAAAGGTATAGCATAAAGCTATTCCAGTTCAGAAGTTTAGAGAACTTGTTAAAAATATTATTCCATTTGGAGACGTGTAGTAAATTTTAGTAAAATACATTATATACTGGTACAATTTTTAGGTTTTAAGTTCACATATCTGACCAACTTGCTGAATGAGTAATATAAAACACCTTTGATTTTCAGTTGGACACTCGCCTTAACAAAAAAAGCTGGTATGAACACCTCTTGAAGGAACCATGCAAGTACTGGGTTGGCTTAATTCGCAAATATTTCATAGATGGCCCCTCGGTTGTCATTCGTGGAGTACCATCTATAGCTGAAGCCACCAGGTTAGAAGAGGAGGAAAAGAGGAGGGTGGAAACCAGAAAGTTGGAGCTAGGCGATGAGGGTCTGAAAGTGTGGAAAGAAAGGGTTGAAAAGGCCAAGGAAACCAATGAGGTAAATGGATTTTTGTTGATGAATTTTTTTCTTAACCACTTTGTTTCCTCGAAGGTGAAGCAATTAGACTGTGAGGGGAATGCATTCACATATGTGTGGCTCTGACTTTCTGCTTATAGGCAAATTATATTAACTAAGTTTTTTGTATTCACAGTTTATGAAAGTTGCATAGAATATTCTTGTGGTTAAAATGTCAGAAAACTTGTTTACCAGATAAGAGATTGAAGGCATGTACATTTTTTTGGCATATTGTTTACACAGACAGTTAATGAGAAACAGATAGCCATGCATGTACTCTTTGTGTGACAAATTTAACTATGTTGAAGTACACTTCATTGTTTTTTGTTATCCTGTTGTTTGAATTGCCATGTTTTTTGTAGATTCCTCCACCAGGGGAGATGCTGCAGTCAGTACCAGTGCCTGGGTTAGAGAGCATCAACTTCCACCCACTGAGGGCATATGCAAATCACCTGGAGACTCAGCCCAATCATGGACAGCCAGAGCCCAACCTACCCACCCTGCTTAGTCAACTCCCTGTCAAGTTCCAGCTAGATGATCTACACTCCAACTTTGTAGAAGTAAGTTAAAACAAGTTGACCTGCACTGTAATTTGTAGGAGTGAAATAAGGTGATTTACTTTCCAACTCTATGTAGGAGTAAATTTAACATGTTTTGCTAGTTCTGTTTAGTGGATAGCGAAGACTTGTTTAGGGAGGGGGCACACTTGGAGAAATGTACAGAGTGGACTTTTCTTTGACTATACACATTAAATAATTGTGTATGAATGTGGAAGACTGAATTTTTTGTGAAAGTGGAAAATGAAGTAAGTACAGTAGTACCCTGATTTACCATTTACGCGGTCAATTGAACTCACAGGGTACCGTGGAAAGTGAAAACCGCGTAAAGTGAACAACAGAACATATGGGATTAATTCCAATAGAGACTGGCCCGACCCCCAAACTCCACTTTTTCCGACACAATACCTATGTTGTAGTAAAAATAACATCTAAATTTTATGATGGTATGCTAACACAATTAATATTTAAGAGAAATACAGTTGCCAGGTTAATGTCCATTCAAATAATGGACTCAAATCCCACCCCCCCTCTTCCCAGCTCACTAGCTCCTACCTCTCTGAGAAATGGTTGGGTGAAAACACTAGATTTTAACGTTTAGTAATAAATAATAACCCAGACTAAAGTTAGGATAATATAATTGACATTTCTAGATTCCTTGCAGGTCAGGGAATATTTTGATTGTAAACTTCATATATTTTGCACAAACGATAAAATATTTGCTTTGTGTAAACCAAATTATTACATTAGATCTAAAATTTGTATGTCGAATGCAAATTCCATGATGTTTATATTCAAAATGATCATTTGATGTTTATATTCAAAATGATCATCATATTGTAAGAATTCCAGCAATGTAAATTATATTCTGGCAGGGTAATTTGTATGAATTTTATGAGCTAAATAAAAAAAATAAAAAAATAAATTATACTTCACCGAGAAGCACTGCAGAAAGTGAAAGTCCGGTTCTGGCAAGGTACAGAAAATCGCGGAAAGTGAAACCGTGTATGTAAAGCGGGTAATACTGTATTAGTGCGAATAATTGGATTTTGTATGAGTGTGGAACACCGGATTGGTTATATACTGTCTATGTGTGAAAGAGTGAATTTTGAAGACTGAATCATGTGTTACTGTGGAAGACTGGATTGTATATTAATATGGATGCTGAATTGTGGCTCAATATGTAGGATTGGATGATGTGTCAATATGACAGACTAAGTATAGATGATTGTATATATGACTAAGGAAGACAAAATGAAAATGGAATCTCTAATAAGTAAGTATAGTATACAGTAGTAGACAAAGGGATTGGTTATAAAACAGTCAACATTGAAGAGTCCTTGGTCCATCTTACTCGCATTCAACTTTATGCGCTTGGCTTTGGAAAAAAAAAGAATGATGTCAGAGTAGCTCTCTGAACAGGTGTGGGAGTTTGGGTTGTGCCCCTCTGCTGGCTGACCCTTAGCAACAGTTGCTAAGGGTTGGTTGGCAGAAGCAGCACATCCCAGCTAAGCTGCAATGCAGTTTGTGCAACACCTTGCATAATTTTACTTTTTTATGCTTTCTTTAGTTTTCCTAAATTTTTTCTGCTGAAATCGACTTGACAATCTGTGGCAAAGAGGATAAAGTAAACTTACAGCAGAGGTGGTTTTTTACAGATTACAGATTGCCCCGGAGGGGGCTATATTATTGGGCACCCCCTTACATCCTGTGCAAGGTGAAGCGCAGAAGCGTTTACAGTGCCCAACAGGGAAGCATGCGGAGTTCATGCTTGCCTTTATGACTCATGCATTAAGGGCGTGGAAGCCTGAAGGGTCATGGGTTTTGTCAGCAAGTTACATAAAGTGACAATGATGAGTGTGTGGGGGGAAAATTCCCGGTACAATTTATCTGTTTATGGCAAAGTGTGGCAGGTCCCTAATAATGTCAAGTGCCAGGCCTGTGACTAGGAGGAGGGATATCTGGTCAGGGAGGGAAGAAGTGCCACCCCTGTAGGGGGAGGTCATAGGGCAGATGAGGATGTGGTGAAAGAGGGTGTGAGAGTCTGTTGACCACAAAGTTTACAAACAGTGCGGCCAGGCTCAGGGTTGCCAATGTACTAGGCATGGCGAAGTACAGTGGGGGTGGAGGTGATATGGTGTGGTGGGGCAGGTACAGTAGGGGTGGAGGGAGGCACATAGGCATTGACAACATTGAGGGACACACCATTTAGTGTTATTGTGATGGTGTGTTCGTCGACATGTCGGTGGGGTACAGGTAGCCGGGGGTGGTGTCCTCAGGTCCAGGTAGCCCTGGTGGAGGCAGCTCAGACACGGGAGCGGGCGCGGCTTGCGGTGGGTGGTGGACAGGTTGAGGCACCAAGTGTTGTGAGGATGGGGCAGGACTGCGCTCGGGGGCAGCAGGACACACCAGGGCAGGTCCGGTAGGCTCTACACCAGTAGTGAAGGCCGCCGGTGGTGGAGTAGGCCGTGAGCAGGGGGGGCTCACAGGGGGACCAACAGCTTGTGTCAAACCAGAAGAGAGGAGTGACTGGGTGGCAACAGAGGGCAGGAGTAGGTGGGAGATGGTGGTACAGAGTGTAGCAAAGAGTTGTTCAATACGGTTGGTAAATTCTTGGAAGAGGGATATGATCTGTGTCATGTCACTGGCAGGGGGTTGTGGGGGGGCACCGGTGGGAGCACAAGGCCTGACAGCCTCAGAGTAGAGACGGGGAGGAGGCCCAGTAGTAGTTGAGTTAGGAGACTGCCGGGACTGCTGTGTTGTAGCCAGATGAGGCCAGGCAAGGCAGGTGTTGTTGAAGAAGGCGTTGCTGGAGACACAGGGTACACGGGGGGGTGTGGCCCGGAAGACTGTGGGGGGCGTTGTGGTAGACTTGGCCTTCGGGGAGGCTTTTCCCCTGGGACAGACGGGTGATTGGGGCATTGCCGTGAGTCAGCATTGTTTCAACCGCCACAGTTACAACATCTATTAAGGTGGTCTTTGATTTTCTGGGCACAGGCGGCGGAGTTGTGGTTATGTGAACAGAAGCGACATCTCGGCCGATCACATCGGCAGCAGGCAGTGAAGCTGTGACCCCAATGAGAACAGACAACACAAAATGCAGGCTCAGGATGATAGGCTTCTGCATACAGTGGGGGTAAGAGTGGGTGGGCATTCACAGTGGTTGGGCACTCCCTTCCCTTCCACTTGACAATGACAACGGGTTGTGGAACTCTCCCCCGGTAATGGCGACGTATACTCAGTATACTAGAGTTAAAGTCGCACTCATCTTCGATGTCAGCGTATAAGGGGAAACGTTTCACTAGGATGTGGCAACATTCATCTGCGTCTACAGGGGGGGGCAGCAGGACGACCCTGTCAGAGCCAACAGTACTAAGTGTTTCATAGGCCTCAGGAGTCTGACACTTGATAAAATTCCGGTTCTTACCTTGTCGGAATTCAATGCTGAACCGTGCTGTCTGCAGTACTTCATCATCCAATTAAAGCGTTCCTCTACAGTTTTCAGAGAGTCCTTGGGGAAGTGGAGATTCAGCTTACTTGTTTGTTTGGCAGAGGGCAGGGTGATAGGGTCCATGGCATTGGTGTTTCCACTGTGGTTAGCGTTTCCCATAGAAACATTACCGTCACTGTCATAATCACTGGGGTCTGACTCTTGAAGGGTGTTGGATTCAGTTCGACCAGGCGAGTTGGTAATGGCATCAGTATCAGAGATGTCTGCGTCTATGAGAGAGCCTCTTCTGGGACATTTATGTCGACCCCCCGATGCTGGCAAAACTTGCCGGCTGAGGGGACCTTGGTGGGACGATCGGGAAGTCAAGAGCACCTATGGGCACGTCTGTACCCTTGGGTGGTCACGCCACAACTGCAGAGGTGGTTGTGTGCTGCACCCCCTAGGCCCTGTTGTGGGTCGATGACCTGTGCCCGGTGGACTATTCCCTGAAAAAAAAAATAGCTGTGTCGCCAGATGTTGACAAACTGCCCACTGCTTCTATTTTTATGATCACCTCCCACACCCATTCTCTTCCCCTTTCTTAGTTTTTAGTTTTATATTATATTTTCTTTATTTCTAAGTCACATTAGAGTACTGTATTGAAGTGTTTTTTCCAAAATTTTTGTAGTTTTATGATATGTAACAATGGCAACATGCATTACCATATCTTGCAGGCCACAGCTGACTGGCATGTACTGTATGTATGTTTTAAGTTGTGTACTTCATATGCTGGACATGTACATATGTTTCAACAGCATAATGAAAATAAAAATTATTGTTGGCAGCATTAATGTTTGTTCTATTTTCTGTTTTAAACATTATTCTACTTTTAATGACCTAGCAATAAATTCTGTATGTAGAGTGAACTTGCCGCTGACTCCCACACACACACCCATGCTCTTCATTTTTTCTTGTTATATAGTTTTATATTATATTTTCTTTATTTCTAAACTACATTATATTACAGGTACTGTATATATAATCATGTACTTTATGGGTGATTTAAGGGATTTACACGGGTAATTTTGACTGCTCATTTTTAACTTTAGGCTCCCCGTTCTGAACGTAACCTCCACGGAAGATGCAACACGACTGTAATTTGAGTTAACTGTAAATGAGATGTGTGACTTGTGAGGCTTGTACACCAATTTATTTCTGGTTATTTTTTTTTTTTCAAAACTGGCTGGTAACAGTGCTATGCATACAAACTGAAGATGTCCATAGACTTAAAGTATAAGTTTAGTGATACATTATATGAATTTATACTCAGAACCTGTACGATCAACCCACAGATAATAGCCGTGTTGGACACATCAGCTGTTCCAGCACCACTTCGTCCATACCTCTCCCTTCTGTTGGACCTGTTGTTTGAATCTCCAGTGGTGCGGGGAAATTCCCTCATACCTTATGAGGAGGTAGTACAGGAACTCGCAGCTGACACGTTATCCCGAGAAACTGTATTAGGGTTGTCACTTCACAGTCGCAAGTTTTCCTGTGCCTCATACTGCACTAATGCTGCTGTCATCCTAAAGGTCAGTATTCTTTATATATATATATATATATATATATATATATATATATATATATATATATATATATATATATATATATATATATATATATATATATATATATATATATATATATATATATATATATATAAAGAGACAGCGGGTGGATTAGAGAATAGGCCACTAGTAATAGGTTCCTTGCCCTTATCCCATCTTTATATGAAAGTTATCCAATGGTACTGTACGTATTGGGATTAAAGTTGGGGTCAAATTGACTGGTGAAATAATCTTTTGCAACACCTTCAACATGTTTTTTGGATATTTATGGCTGAATAGAGCGTAAGACAAAGGTGGCTGACATATAAATGAAGGGGAACTAAAGTGTTGTTAAGTATATAGAAAAGACATGGAAAGTTTTTATTCAGACTGCGAGTGATTAGGACTAATTATAATTTTTTATTAGGGAAAAAATTTACTCAGAATGATGTATGGCTGTAATATTAAGATTATTTGTTACTAATCTCTCCCAGATATGCTGAAGGTACTCAACAAGAGTCAAGATAATTAATTTTGTGTTGGGTCATGGTTAATTTTTGAGGGGGGGGGGGTACAAGAGGGAGTTGGGAGATGTGCTTGTTAATTATTTGTCATACTCCCAAAAAAATATTTTTGTTTTAATCTGCTTGGCACCTAGGAACTAGTGATGCTCTGTACAACTTGTGATGCTCTGTAACTTGATTCTCAGAATAAGGTGCAAGTCACACTGTTACTTGGACTTGATACATTATGACATCCTTTTATCACTTAGAACAGTTGTTGAGCCTAAGGACTTTATTTTGTCTTTTTGGTTTGCTGGGATATGCTTAGTAGCACACTACCATAGGCTATTAGCTCATAGTCTTCTGGCAACTGCAGTTGATCTTGTAGAGATCCTCTCTCTAATTCTTTTGTTAGACTAAATTTCATGAGTATATACCAGTCACAGAAATGGAAGGTTCTTAGAAACTGTTGGGGTTCAGTCTGCAAATTTGTCAGTTCAGTTTGTGAGCAAGTGATCCATGCTCATAATAAAGTGGAATTTCAGGATCAATTGCCTCATATCTAAATTAAAGTGAAACCAATAACCACCAGCCTCTGTTGCTATTTGCCAGACTGAGATGTCCAAGTATGAAAAAGGAGTGCAGTGGATGCATGACATTTTGTTCAAGAGTCGGTTCACCACACAACGTGTTAAAGTGAAGGCCAACAAACTTGTTAACTCTATTGGAGAAAGTAAACGCAGTGGACCCACACTTCTGCAGCTCATGTTCCATGGTGTGGCCTTTAGAAATGGTAAGTACTGTGTGTCTTGTTAATGGGGATGTATTAATAAGGAAATATTAACAATTCATTTGGATTATTGTTTCATGGAAACTTCTTTCAGTAAAATTTATGGTTATTAATGAACATCTCATCTTTCTCTTACTCAAGCATAAAGTAGCTGCTGTTGCTCTGTCTTTGATAGAGTAATAAGAAACAAAATTTTGATTTGTATTGACAGCATACCTACAGGTCATTTCTATTGAGTTAGTATTATTTGCCAATCCAAAGTTCTCTTGCTTTGTTACAACAGCATACATTGCTGTGATACTCCGTGTCAGGGCAGATGCACTGTTACAGTGTAGATTGATACCATCCAAATGGATGTTGGGTTGGGATTCCCTTCTGGATTCTTTTCATGGGAGTCAGTCCATTGGTGGATTTATTTCCAATGCTAAGTTGATCACCAATTCCCATGCTGTGCATCACTTATTCTACAGTAGGGCACAGCAGGAGCCAAGCCATTTTCTCTAGACTGGAATAGCTAGAGTCAGACTCATTTGTTTCATCCTCTACCATAAACGTTTCAAGTGAATTTAAAGTGGGAACAGTTCTGAGGAATCCCAACATTACTGTATTGGCTTCTTCTTGGCCTTGGATGGCTTGGTTCCCCTCCTGCATCACCTTGGTCCATATCATATTCAGCTTCCCTCTCATGCTGATTCAGAGGGTAGGTAGAGACAGGCCCTTGTCTTCAGTTTTCAAGTGACTTTTGAAGATTTTTCAGGTACTTTGGTACCTAGCTTAAGCCTAGTGCACATTTGTCGACATGCCGTCCAACACGTTAAGCCTGACCAACAGTGTTGATCAGGCTTGCTTGATGAGTTTGTACGCACCAGCCATTGTCATTCGTTGTTTGACCACGGTGTTGTGAGCAATGGCTCCACTTTCGTGCGCAACAAAATCTGCTTTGTGGAGTGTCATGATGGCTTGTGCGATAGAGAGGAAAACAGTGAATAAAAAAACATTGTGGTGTTAACAGCATTTAATGAAAATGCACTCCAAGGGAAGTTTTAAACACATAATTAACCCCTACGCCCTGGTTAACGTTTTGGAACGTCCATGTAAGGCGCCCCGGTTGACATTCCGGAACCAGCTCCTTTTCACGCCATTGTTTGAATGCCCAGCGTGGGTTATCAGGTTCCAGTGTGACTATTTGCCTGTCACGCCACACCTCGGCCACTGGGAAGCTCCTGAATGTAATTACCTACTTTTGTTTGTTTCATTTTCATTGTTTGTCGATTTTATCATGTTGTAATACTGCTAAAAATAGTGTAGTTGTATTGTAATTATAATATTACTGTAAAATAATGCTAAAATTATGTTATAAACGTATTTATTTGTTGAATTATTTTATGCATTACTTGTTCTCACAAAGACAGCCAGACATCGTGTGTCTCCGAGCACTTTTTATGAAAAATAATGCAAATAGAATATTCTAAATGAATTATTTATAGGAAATAAGTATTATGATCAGTAAATATATGCAGTATTGGCCATCCCGGACACAAAAGCAAGCAGAAATTGGCCGCTAAGTGCGTAGTGACCACGAGCGTCAGCCGTCAAAACAACACTGTCCCTTTATCTCCCTCGCCACTGCTGCAACAGGGAAGATTCTAGAGGGTCAACATATAGTTCTTCTTACTTATTTTTTATTGTTTTATCATGTAAAAGGGTTAAAAATTATTTTTGGAAAAGTTGATTTTTCTTGATTTACCCCACGTGGGGTGTACGGCCAGCGGCACCCTAACCAGAGGCAAAAGGGTTAATGAACTTGCAATAGAAAGTGGGGGAGATTTTCAATACATTATGTCAAAATGCCAGTAACGGCCTTTTTCTCTTGAAAAAATATAACCGCTAATAGAGAGACAAGATACAGGTACTAGATTAGTAGATTCAGATGTAGAAATTGCAAGAGCGTCTGTACAGATAACCTCTCATTGCAGAGCCATCCAACTCACTGAGAGTCGTGGCATCCTGATCGCGTGGTGATTGGACACCAGAAAACCCGTCATTGATCAGGCACGAACACCGATTTGTGTCGGAAGATGGCCGTTTGACAGTGATGCCAGACAGCATGTCAACAGATGTGTACCTCCCTTTAAGGGGTTTAGTTAGAGAAATTTGGTTTGGGGTCTAAATTTGGAGTACTGTATCAACTGTTACTTTGACTTTTCTGGGACATGTCCCATTAGGTCTTGTTGTAGATCACTCTTTGCTCCCCAGTTAACCCTTAACCAGTGGTTAAGGATGCCCTATTCACTTTCCATATGATAAAAATGAATGCAATGAGCACTAAACATTCACAGAGGCTGGCTGCCATCCTTACAGCTAGCTCTCACTGATGCTGGCTGCTATTTAAGGGTTAGTAGGCATCTTCTTGCAAGGAGAAATTAATTACTAAAGCTCAAACCAACAACAAAATTTGGCATAGGGAAGGGTAAGTTAATAATGTAAGGGAAGGTTTCATTTTTTATGTTGAAAGTGAATTCCCCATTGGGTGTGTGCAGCATAGCTCTTGGAGCATTTATTTACAGGTCCTAACTAACTGTCACCAAATTATTAAAGAGGTTGACCCTTAAAATCTGATTTATAACAAAATCAGTTAGATTCATCTTGGAAACCACCTCCCTGATATTCTCATCTCCTTGATGGTTGACTGGAGTGAGGGGTTTGCTGCTGAAAACCTGGTCTGTGACCTGTAAACAATTGACCTATCCCAAACTTACTGCTGTATGTAGATATAACAAAATGTTATAATTACAGTATGACATTGGGGCTTTGGTCAACTGTACAGTAGTGGCAGACACTTGCTATGGTACACTATATTTATTTTCATGTGCCATGATAAGGTGTCTCAGCATTTTTAGGATGATAAATTATTTAAGCCTGTCTTTTCAAAAATCTTTCTATTGAATATATTTACCCATTAATGGTAAGATAATACAATTCTTAATGCTGTGCATTCATTAATTTTAAACAACTTTCTTGGCAGACAGCAACCAGAACCAGCAGAATATTCTGAGGCAAGAAAAATTCCTCAACTATATTCTCAATAGATTGAATACTGAAGAAGAAAAAGTTCTTGGAGAGTTAGAGCAGGTTTGTTAAACTTGTTTGTGGAAATTTCCTGTCATGACCTTATGCTTGGCTCAGGCTACTCATATACAGTCACCAGTGTATGGGTTGAAACCCTACAGTTTCCATGACCCAGAGATACCTGTATTACTGGAATTAATAAAAAATAATAATTATTTCACTGTCCTATTACTTCAGGGTGTCTAGAAGAGACATGATAAATACAGCAGTTAACTTTGAAAGTAGTAAGTCTTATCACCTAACTCGCACAAGTATAGTACACACTGCAACCCTCAGTTGTTAGGTTACAAGTGTCCTGTAGTGTCAGTTACTTCATTTCTTGTCTGTATTGAGTTCTATAGATGTCTTCAGACTTACTCATTCTGCTGAGAGCTTTGTACTTCCCATACTATTTTGGCTGCTTCTCTCAGATCTTTATTATTGCCATGCAGGTATTATTTTATTGAAAAATGTTTGTTTGTCATGTTGCATGAATATTAAAATTTGCTAAGTGAACCAGTTTGAGTTTGGCTGACTGGTTAGTACTGTATATGATACCAACACCACCCAATGCTGTGCCCTTACCTTTAAGCACAGTGAATCAGCCAGTCTCAGGATAGTTTTATTCCAGATGGAGGGTGTGACCTATGGGCAACTGTAGGATGTCACCTTACAGGACTAATTATTGCAAAAGTGGTTCATAATTGTACAGATTTTGGTATACTGTACTGAAGTGTTCCAGTGTTATACATCCCCAACACTTCCAGTCCAGTGGACACTTGATATTTGCAGTTTCTGGATTGGTGAATTAAGCATGTTTGCGATTTAATAAAAGTATATCTACTCCCAATTCACAATCCCCAACCTCTAGTATTATCTTAAAATATGAAAATGTCATAATGTTAGTGTGAGCCATGAGAGGCAGTTGAACTCATTTTACTAAAAATAATGAGACCACTACAACTTTGGTAATTTGTAAAGTCAGTTCTTTACAGGTAGTGACCTCACTCCTGTAATGAGATATATAATTGCACTAACACTTTGAGCTTATACTTGCCTCCTTCCTCTATTTCGAGCTTATACTTGCCTCCTTCCTCTATTTCCTGCTAGCTGTAGATGCATTAATCATCCAGAACAGGCTTAAGGCTCTAAATGGGGATTTACCATTAAATCTTATTTTGTGCCAAGCCCAGATTCCTTCCTTCCTTCCTATAAGATCTGAGATGAACTGGAACTGCACTGGTTAACCCAGAATTGGCACTTGTAGCTGTACAAATGAGGGTTGTAGGGCACACTGGTGCAAGCATGGTAGCGGGACTCATCTCTCACCCTTTGGTGGTAAATGCTGTGTATCAAGTCTCTCTTCGATACCCAGATAAGATGAGGAATCCTAAACTTATTGTCAGATCAACTTTTACAATGTCAGTCTTAGGCCTTAGGTACCCTGGGTTTTCAACCCCTAGACTAATGATTATACATACGAGTTACTTGATCCTGATTTCACTCGTATCAAAATGAGATTTCAGGATCAATCTCATTTTTAACTGCAAAGTTTAGATACTGTAAATTCTATTGTTTTCTGCTGTTGGTTTCTTTGGTGTTGAATAACTTTTGAAGTCTGTCAGGTTGACCAGCTGTTCAGATATGATCAACACAGTGACTAAACTTGGCCATTAAATTATTGTACCAGTACTCACCTTTTTCTTCAGTAGTGGTAACACAAAGTTAAAAAGGTAGAATAAGTTGTGATAAAGTTGTTATTAAGGTTATCAAATAAAGGTATCTGCTTGTTGATAATTCAGATTGTATAGCTTTTACTTTATTTCATTTTTAGGTTCGAAGTGCTATTGTTCACAAGGATCGTATAACAATACATATGGCAACTGATGTGGAAAAATTATCAACTCTAGGTGACCCACTGGCTCCTTGGCTGAATTTTGTGTCTAAAAAGGAAACTCCAAAAGAAAGATTGTAAGTGTGTTGTAATCTTTACCTCTTTATCAATTTCAGCCAAAATATATTGTCATCTTTCATATGGTGTATATGAATCTTCAATGCAACAGTGTAGAATCTGCCATACTACCAAAGATCTCTTTGCTGTGGTACACAAGGGCTATCCATGCTTTTTCATAATACACAGTCCACATTTGGTGGGTTCATCTTTATTGCATGGTAATTTTCCTTCAATTTAGAGAGGACAGTGCACCATATGTGCGAGCTTGAGAAAGCATAGTATAGTACAGTACAGGGGGTCCTCGTTATAAGAGTATTCACTATCCGTGGTTTCGCAGTTAAGTGGTCAACTTTTTGTGACCATATACTGTACGTAAAAACTCCCCGCATTTAAGCTGATTCAACTCAAAAACTCCGGATAAAATCTACGGATTTTTAGCTGTAGTGTTTGAAATTTCATCCTCTTGCTGGCATCATACATGTACTGTCCCCATGGCAGTCTCTCACTGTTTCATCCAGACCAGTACATTTCTGTGTTTACTCCTGCCTTTTCGTGCATTTTGTGGGAAATTATTTAATTATTTTTGTAGCCATGAGTTCCCAACCCAAACAGGGTGGTGCAATGCTCAAAAGGAAGCACACAGCTATAGTATTGATGTAAAATTAGAAGTGATTAGGCCTAAAGAAGAGTGGGAGTGGATAATCCACCTAGTCCTGTCTCTCTTTTATTCTCTAACCAATCCTCCATCAATCCACCGAAGCCAAACATCTCTACCTTTGAAAGTGAAATAAATACAGTAAAAACATTTTAAGTTAAGATTATATATTTTTAAAACATTATAATAAGTATTTTGTCTCAATAAACCACTGGAGTGAGTGTGCACCAGCAACGGTTGATGTGGACCACCAGGTCGCTGGCACGACTTACATCAACCCCAATGAATTTTAAGAAAGTTAGATAACTTATAAAGTTGAATAATTTCTTAAAATACTGTTTTTTCAAATGTTTAACAAATATTTCTAAGGTAAATAATTGTTAAATGATATCATATATATTTTTTGAGTGTTGTGTTCAATGTCATGGTCCCAGTTTGACCTACATATTACCATTATTTCTTACGGGATCAATTCCCCGCTATAAGTGGATTCGTTATCAGTGGCATTTTTCCAGTCCCAAGTAACTGCAGATAACAAGGACCCCTTGTACTGCTCCTTGCTGAAGAAACGAACCCACCTCAGCCAGTGACCAATCAATGTCACAGTTGCATATTGTTATTCCATCAGTCAATGAGTGTCAAGATTATGGCCCCTTTCTCAACTCGGTCCTTGTTTACCCGTGTAACATTGTGATGCTGTGCATTTTTTATTTTTTTTATTTTTTAACATACATTTCTTGCATTCATAATGAGTTCTTCAGATAGTAATATGCAGCCTAGTGTCAGGTTACTCACCTAAGACAGATCCATTATGATATACAGGTAGTTCTGCTATAACGCGATAATTGTGTTCTTGTAAAATATCGTGTTATAGAAAATCGCGTAATAGAAATAACAGGGCATATGGAGAAAATAGGGTTAGGTGCAGATTACTCAAATCGAAAAAATTTAGTAGTTAGCCTAACACAAAGGATAGCACAGTCTAAATAAATGTTACATTCATATCTAATAATGAAATCATACAGTAAATGTAACACTTTACTTGATGGGGGAGAAGGGTGATTTTGAGGTTGATAAAATCGAGCTTCTCTTCAAGTGTTATATCCTTTCTTTTACGATCATCACGGGAATTCTATCACCAGAACGCTTCTTGATAGTAAGCAAAAATCGCGTTATAGCAAACAAGCCTTGCGTTATACAAATATCGTTCTAATTCATAAATCGGCGTTAGAGCAAATTCGTTATCAAACACGCGTTATAGCAGAACTCACTGTACCGTATTTGCCGGCATAGAAGACGCATATTTTTTTTTTTTTTTTGCAAATTACCCTGCGTCTAATGCGCCCGTATTATGGATGGGAGGCCAAGCGCCATAGGTGGAGGTGCCTAGCTAGGGAGTCTGGGACGAGCAGTAGTCCACTAAGCACAAAAATTTTGTTAGTAATATTAAAAGTAATAAATTACTGAAAAACAAGCCCTATTATCACAAACTTATGACAAATTTGCCGAAGACGTAAATAATGGCTTAACGGCAGAGGGAAGCTCACGTCGTCTCACTGTACCTCCTTCATACGTAACCCACGCCAGATACGTCTTACATTATTTAAGGACTGTATTACCTTTAAGAAACATTTGTTTGTTATCCAAATGAAAAATGCCCCTAGAAAGATTAAAGAAATGTTAACAGAAAGTTCAGCTGCCAGTCAGCCATTTGCAATGAGTCGATGATGCCAAAACAATAGCAGTGTTGCTACACCCTGGTGGCAGATCGCGGCAACACAAAACATCACAGCCAAAAATATGAGTTTCACGTCCTGTCTGTAATTCTCTTGACCAAAATATAAACAAGCCACACAGCTGCTCTGATCAGAGGTAGAGTTGGGTTAGTATAGTAATATTACTATACCCTAGTGTATATACAGTACAGTACAGTATATGATTTCCTACTTGATTCCAGTACTGTATATATTGTATTTACTTGCACAAAATCATATGTTTTCCCCTACAAAATAACTTTAATCACTTTCAATAATTGTATGATGAAACTTACTAAAAAAAAAATTGCCAAAAAACTCCTTGTAAAATAGGGGTGCGTCTTATGTGTTGGTCCGTCTTATGTGTTGGTGCGTCTTTTATGTTGGTGCGTCTTATGTGTTGGTGCGTCTTGTGTGTTGGTGCGTCTTGTGTGTTGGTGCGTCTTATGTGCCAGCAAATACGGTACAAAGTATTTTCACTTCCGTAATTTCATGTTTCTGTTTATTTGTTGTTTTTTTACTAATGCAGTTTTAACATTTCATCATATCTCTATTATATGACAAATACCTTCAAAATTGATCAATATTAGATAATTTTATAGCCATTTATGTCTTTCAAACTTTGATGCACATTTTCTCGAAACTAATTTGGTGCATTTGTCACTGTCACACTGAACACCTCATATGTGGTTGTATGTGTTTAACTCAAAACCATTCAGTGCAAAAATTCATACAGTTATGGATGGATCTGTTTGAAACTTGATATAAATCATTTTTACCACACCACTGCATCTGCTCTTTTGGGGTCAAAGATCAAGGTCACTGTTACTTAAACCTGGTTTGGAGGAAGTATCAAAATTTGGCAACTTTTTCTTACTTAACTATTTGACTTTAACCAAGGAATAAAAGTCCCCAAAAGGTGTGGGGTTGGGCTGAGGGTAAAAACCTGAAAATAACCATGAAAATTTCAGATTCTTTGATCACACCCACCCCCATAGGATGTCATTTGTAGTTTGCTAGATTGAGGGAATTGTTACTTAAGAGCCTAGTTTATGAGATTTATCTGGGGAGGAAGTTGCAAGGCTTCATGGTTCATTACACTCATGTTTTAAGGATGTCTTGTGGCCTCTAGTCTCATATAAGCAATGGTTATCACCCAGGTGGAAGTTATCTTTGAGTTTACTGTAAGCTTAAGCACACATAGTAGCAGGTAACTCTTTCTCTGCCTCGGTAATGAAATGGGTTACAGGTATCAATTCCTAATTTGGAGGATGTATTTACTATTATAAGTGTGCTGGCATAAAGAAGTTTTGTTAATACAGTGGTCCCTCGGTTAACGAACACAATCCGTTCCAGCAGGTTGTTCGTTAACCGAAAAATTCGTTAACCGAAACCATTGTTTCAATGGGTAGTTGGTTCCAGCTCACCGAAAATTGCCTAAATTCAACAAAAATGGTAGAAAAGTTCACTTACTTTGAGGTGTGTATGTAGAAGGCTCCTGGATGATGATGATGATGATAATGGGAATTAGAATGGGGGTGGAGGAGAAGGAAGAAGAGAAGGCATTGGGGTGGAAGAGAAGTCACCCCATGGCACCATTTCACCCATAAAATTTTAGTTCTCGTGGTGTATTTCAAGATTATTTTCTTTAAATCAACTCTGCACTGCATTATATATTGTCAATATGTAAAATATATTTCAAAATGACCAATAATTTGCTTGGAAACACAGAAAAAAGCGTTTAGTTGAAGAGAGTCTCAAGCAAGATGTTACCTCCAGTGAAAACAGAGAGAGACTAACGCCTGTTTGCTGTGTTAAGAGGCTGGATGCCGCGCATTAAACTAGTCACTTTACCTTCAAATATGTTCAATAATTGTTAAAATGACTAAAAAATTGAATATTAAACTTTTAAAATTATTGAATAGTATAAACTTCTTGATATTTACTAAAATAGTAAGGAATTTAAGCCCTAGAACCGATTAATGTATTGGCGGACTAATACTAAAGCTGGTTGACCGGCCAGTGCAAGCGAAAACATGTTGAGGTCGGTTAGTAAGAAATTCGTTAACCGAATTTTTGTTCGTTAACCGAATTTAAGAATCTTATGGGAGGCAGTTCGTTAACCGAAATTTTGTTAACTGAGGCATTCGTTAACCGAGGGACCACTGTACACGGTCTTTCATTGATTATTTTCTTGCTGCAGCTTTGCAAGGTTTTCCTAAAGAAATATTGCATATTTAGTATTTTATATTTTAATACTTTTTCATTAGACATTTGCTTTATTTTCAGACTTAACATAATACCAGATAGTGAACTACTGTCCCATGAAAACTTAGGCAATATAACTGGATTCTTGACTGGTGTTGGATCAGTCGAGTCAGCATATTTGTTGCAGTCAACCAGTTGTGTCACTGAGCACAGAGATTGGGATGTTCCAGCAATCCTTACTGCCATTCAGTATCTCACTCAACTGGAGGTTTGTTAAGAATATAATTCTTTACTGTATAAGAGCATAAGTTATGGGCTCAGAATTTCATACCATCAAGAAATGTCATGTCCCTTGACAGACTGTGATGGCATCACAGAAAAAAACCTACATCATGCACACTGTACTTTGCTCTCTTCTGTTTTGGCTGATGTGTACTTTTCACAAATATCTTTGTTATATTTTTCAAAATGTAGATGATTTCTTTTCAAGGACATGAATGAAAAAATTGTGAATGTAATTGTGACAGGAGACCAGGACACTAATAAGAACTTTCTACATATTTGAAAATTTTCAGGGGCCAATGTGGAGGGAAATTAGAGGACAGGGTCTGGCTTATTCCTACAGTATAAACCTCAATCCCACACAAGGTTTACTTATATTGAAGCTGGCTAGAGCTGCTCAGTTGACTGGAGCTTACCGGGAGGCACAGGATATTCTGGTAAGTCTCTACTGCCCTTGTGTATCATTTATTATTTATTAGCACTAATTTTTTACACTTGTATATGTGGAATCATAATGTAAATAGGACAAAATGCTAAAATGTTTTTTAATAAGTAAGAAACTAGAATGGTGGTGAAGAAGGTAATTTATATATCTATATACACTATATGTGCGTACCTGTGTGGGATCACTCATGGTAAGGGGAACATCCGGCTGAAGCACAAAATTCATTAATAATTGATAATTCAATATCAATTTCCTGTCATCAATTAAGGACACCAGATACATTGTTGCTATACCCCTGAATCGGTTCTGCCTAATCTCTAATGCCTGATACTGTACCTGATTTTCCCTTATACAATCTCTTCTCGACTTACGATGGGGTTTCGGACCGACGACCGGGTCATAAGTTGAATTGGTCGGAAGTCAAAAAGGCGAAAATAATACTGTACATAGAAAATCTAAAATGGGTGTCTCTTTTTCTTCTCAGCACCAAGAGAACTCTCACTTTTAAGCTTGCCAGCCATTTTAAATGGAATTAAGTCAAGGAATACCTGTAGTGTATACTTATCAATTTTCAAAATCCTACATCTCCATTACTTCTCTTGGTCATGACATATAGATATTTCTGATTATCCCATTTGTTTTGGGTGCATGAATTTTTTCCTGGCTTACCATTTTTTCTTCCAAATATTTATAAAGATAAACCAGCAAATAATAAACCAGGCCAAATATGAAGAAAATCTATATGTTACGCCACGCACAATATGTTATTCTACTGCTTAGTTTTGTTTTATTAGAATCGGCCTTAGGGATTTGAAGTTTAGAGAAACTCGTTTTGAGATACGGGCCAAGAACAATACACGGTTGAACCTAACTCTCGCTTCTTTCATGGGTAACTGAGGCCTCAGACTCTCGTCTTACTGCTAGCTAGCTGAGAAAGGTGCCAGATACAGAAGGACCCTCTAATTGAAGGGGGTAGAACAATCAGGCATAGCTACATAAATATTAAAAATTACACAATAAAAATACGCCAGCAGATAGGCATCGGCAACAGCTTTCCTCGTGAATTTTTTCTGAATATTTTCGTAATTTTCCGATTTTCATCGTATTTTCAACTGAACACCCCTTAATTGAATGCCAATATTACAGTAGTATTATCTCATTGTCTCGTGCTCACACACTCAATTTAGAGTTAAAGTTATGTTACTCATCCCAGCTCTTCTGTTTTAGAGAAATTATTTTGTGCCATTAATAGCTAGTACTGTACAGGGTAATTTCATTTTGCATTTGAAAATATACAGGTGCCTAGAAACCCCATTTCCTCTGTAGCCACTTTTATTTTGTATTTTTTTTTATGCAAGTGACAGAGTTTTAACATTATAAACTTCCTTACCAGAATTCCCACATTAATGGAACAGCGCCATGGGACTTAAACTTACTGGAATCAGCACGCAGCTCTCTAATTTTTGAAATAATCGAGAGGGAAGCAGTGATATCAGATGTTGTTCAGCAGTCACTCTTGGCATACTTTCGAAGGGTTCCTCATTCATACAACAAGTAAGTTACATCATGAGTTTTTAGTTGCCACTCACTCACATAACAAATGTCACCATACCTTTGTAGAACTACTTACTTTATTCATTTAACAAGTAAGTTGTTCCATGCATTTATAAAGCTACGTATTCACTTAGCAAGTAAGTGAACTGGCCTTTAACCGTTGATTCTTGATGAGTTAATGGGGCTGGAACATGTAAAAGTATAGTATAGGGTTTTAGTAGCGAAACCCAATTGTCCTTTCTGTATTTATTAAGAAAATATATTATACAGTCATGCGTCCTGTGATGGCGCCTTGTCTTCTACTGTGATGATCCTAAACAGATGGTCTCCTTGCCATATGTATCTTTGAGACAACTGGATAAACACAAGGAAAGTTGGCATATGAACAGTTTCAGAGCCCAGACCATATGTAGTACTGTACAGGTATTCCACAATTTACAGTAATTCTTATTTATTTTTTTTTATTTTGATAATAAATCAAATACACCTTTATTTTTACTTAGAATTTTTTTCAATGTATTTAAAAACAAAAAAAATATTTTTTAGGGTTGGAGAACATGCAGCTAACCATTATATGAAAAGAACATGAACATTGCATATGAGGCCACCGCAGTAGTTAGGGCGACTTTTGTAAAACACCTTATCGGCACATGGGGGGACTACCTGCCTTGCTGGTAGTAATTTTTTGGTCATGCGACTGGTGTATACCTTGCCTTCGTTACAAAACTTTTTTGTAACATTTCTCTTCCAAGTGAAGCCTGCCGGACTCTTACAGCCCCGTGATGGCCCAGCCTCGGGTTCACTCTCCTCACGTTCACTGACAACAGGTGCTGGGTCCTGCACATACGACACACTTTATGGTAGAGGAAACCTTGTTGAAACTTGCTGTTGTGGTAACTCGATTTTGGTGTGGTGGCGCTTGTGCCCTTACTATGGCTTCATATGTTCCAAGCAGTTTGACAGGCCACAACATGTTGTAACAAAATTGTTTACAAGGCAATGGCATCTTTTGAATCCAGCTTCATACTTTGACAACTCTCCAGAATTTTTAAATATTTTCCAAAATATTTATTCTCTGAGAGATATTAGGAAAACAACCAGCTAATGAAATGAGCTACAGCAATTCCCCAAATGGTAAGAGACCACTATGGTGATGAAAAGACAACAGTAGGCAGTAAAGTTGTGTTGCAAAGTGTTATTTTATTATGTGATGGAGAATCCTCCCCCCTCCCCCTCCCATGTCTCCTAATTTACAATGATAATCAATTGATAAAAACAATTGTATCTCAATAACTCAACCATTCCCTACCCCAGCCAGCCTCTGTACCTACTTTCATAAACCAACTCAGGTAAATGTTATCTTATTTACATATCTTTTACATCTAAATACCTGTACAGTATTCATTTTAGCATAGAATTATCTAATTTGGGTACAGTACAGTATACCTGTACAGTACACCTGTACGTTGTTTCACTTATTATCATACTTCTCAAGAATGCAAGTCTACTTAATTTATGTGTTTCAGAAAAATTTAATTCTTGTAATAATAAAAAAATGTGTTCTTAGATAGTACAGGGTGTCAGCTGTCACACACTTATTATAAAACTAAAATGTGTTTTCCTTGTCCCCAGAGACCTGATTGATAAAATTACAAGAGTTACACTTAGTGATGTTAAGAGAGTTGCACTGAAGTACTTCAAACCTCTTGTTCAACCCAGCACATCCCGAACTGTTATTGTGTGTCATCCGTCTAATGTTGAGGAGACGGCGGCTGAGATGGAAAAGTAAGTCATCTCACTTCATATATATACTGTACTGTAAACCCTTGATAACTCACTATTCAATATCTCAGAATTTCATATAATTCGGGACGTATACGGTCTCGGAATTTATTATAAAATAACTTGGAAAATGCCGATTTACATAAAATTATCTGGGAAAATTTCGGCATGCTGTATTTGGCTGCTTGGGTAACACTTGCCATGCTGCGCTTGGTCGGTCAGGTGTTTGTTATTGTTGTGGTCGGGTGTGTGCTGGCTCACTCCACCCAGTACATGAATGTAGGAAGGGAAGGTGCTGTTGCACCACAGAGTATCTAGGGCACCAGAATTAATATTCAGCAACTTTCTGGTAAAATTTGGTTCCTGCATTACTTACCCATTAAAACCCAATAACCTCCTCCATTAATGTCGGGTCTCTGTATGCCCCAATAACCTCCTCCATTAATGTCGGGCTGCTGTATGCCCCAATAACCTCCTCCATTAATGTCGGGCCGCTGTATGCCCCAATAACCTCCTCCATTAATGTCGGGCCGCTGTATGCCCCAATAACCTCCTCCATTAATGTCGGGCTGCTGTATGCCCCAATAACCTCCTCCATTAATGTTGGGCCGCTGTATGCAGAACGACTCCACTGTTATGGTAAATCCAATGTCGTTGACTTTATTTAATTTACAGTGCAATTCATTTTATCCAAATTCCAACTGCAGGATGCCCTGACAATTCACAGATTTTTTATTTTCGGTTCTCGATTATTTGCGGATGATACCCTGGATGTACCCAAGAAATCTGCGGGTAACTTTAAAGTTGCCATCATTTTTGCGGCCGGGACAGGGAGCCATTCGTTCTAGAGACAATAATTTCTTTTACCTGTTTTGTGTGTGTGTGTGTGTGTGTAGACACACACACACACACAAAACACATACAAATAAATAATACAATCATGGGAAAATCCCATACACATACACGGTCAGTCCCCGACTTACGACGGGGTTAGGGACCGATGACCAGGTCATAAGTCGAATTGGTCGTAAGTCAAAAATGCAAAAATAATACATAGAAAATATAAAATGAAATACGGTACATTAAAGGTAATCAATAATGAAAAATTAATAAAGTGTTACTGTGCACTTACCTTTAATGTAGTCAGTTGGATGCACACGGGGTCTCAATAATTTTTTAATTAAACATGGAGACTACATTAATTGGATGAAGCAGAGGAGGAGACAGGGCTGGGTGGGTCATCAATTTCGCTTCCTTCAGACAGGCTAACATACTTGCTTGTTGAAAGTATTGGATCATCTTTAAGAGTGAAGAGGCAGCAGTGGTGGGGCGTGAGGAGACAGCAATGGGGGACTTCTTAAAATATATGTCCAGTTTAGACTGCACAGTTTGCCTTTTCTTTTCATTGTAAATCTCCCTGTAGCAAGCAAGTGCATCTTGGATCATTCTGTCAACTTTCGCAAAACGCTCAACATTTTGATCCATTTTTTCAAACAATTGCATCCCCTTATTAATAGTAGCAAATGCCTCTGCCATTTGTTTCACTGAAATTTTTTTGCAGGGTGCAGGTTCTTCTTCTACATTTTAACTCTCCTCTTCCTCTGCAATTTTCTGTGCATCCAGTTCAATAAGATCCTCGTTACTTAGCTCTTCTGCTACACTTTCAACCAACTGCTCAACATCTTCATTATCAATTTCTAACTCCAGCTGTTGACCCATCTGCACTATCTTGTTACTAATCTCAGAAATTACTTCATCTTCATTAGATCCTCTGAAACTGTTCACACATCTTTTCAGGACCTTCTTCCATATTCCATTCATGCATTGACCTATAACCTCATCCCATGCTGCAGCTATGTTCTTTGTACATTTCAAAATGTTGTAGTCCTTCCAAAACTCTGAGCTTTTTCTCACCTTCAGTAGCAGCAACAGCCTGAGCGAAGGTCGTAGGTAAATAATACGCTTTAAAAGCAGCAATAGTACCTTGATCCATGGGTTGGATGATAGAGGTAGTGTTAGGTGGAAGGTAGACTACCTTTTAACATCAGGGGTGCAGGTCTTCCAGGTGTGGTGGGTGTCCCTGAGCATTATCTAAAATTAATAAAATCTCGAACACAACCATAGGTTGCAGACAATACTCCTCGACTCGTGGAATAAAACAACTCAAGAACCAATCCTCAAACAGTGCTAAGGTCATCCTTGCTTTCTTATTACTGTGATAAAACACTGGCAGTGTGTGTTTGCTGACATTTTAAAAAGCCCTTGGGTTTTCATTGTGTATCTTCCCTTTATTTCCCAACAAATCTCTCTTAGACACCTGCCTTCCACCCCATTGGTTTGTGTATTGTAGATGTCTGCCAGGAATGAATGGGAGTTAAATCCTGAAAGACCAGTATGACCCTGATAGAAGACAAGATTCACAATTGTTTTCCCGACATACCATATTGTTTTCACCCAATTTTCTGCCTGTACTTCCTGTAATGGAAAATATTTTGCTTCCTTATGTTTGTTCTTAGTGTTACATTGCAGTAGGGGAGGTTTACTAATTGCTTAGATTAATCCCAGCCTCTAAAGTCAAGTTCCCCTGGAACTTAAACCAATTGCTTAGGGAGTAAATATATTTGAAGTGCTCTGTTAAGGGTTGTCAAAAAATGGGATATCAATATCTCTGCTTTATTTTTGTCAAGTTGGTGTTGATAGAAGTTGTGAAACTGTGTCATAATTATTCTCTCTTCTTCAGGTATGGCCACAAGTTGCGTGTTATTGACTCCCTGGAAGACAGCAGGTTTGCTTAGCTTCAAAATCACACCACATTATATCTACAACAGTGTTCCACATAATTTTTAACAAAATAGCATTCAGAAGTATTTCAATAAAGGTAGAGGAAACAGTTTTGTGAATATTTTGCTTTTTTTTCAAGAGTTGGTGCACTGTTACTATTGCCTGGAGGAATTTATTTTGAATATTATTAATACTAATTTGTTGTTTTGTAGGCTTCTGATTTTAGAGTGTTCCTAAAGCTTGTGTTTTACACGACTACCATGTGATATTCATACAGTTTATTGTATTGTGATTATGGGTAGAAACATTTTACAGTACAATGGAAATGCTGATTTTATTATTTTATATCAGAGAAGAGTCAGCAAACATCACACACACATTCATACCATATACAGTGACTTTCCTAATGCAATTATTATTGCCTATAGATAGTGGTCTAGTGGTAAAGGTTAATATCTTTTAATACAAGATGAATGATCAAAGTATTAAAGCAAAGTATTCACCACAGCTTTTCAAATGACATTTCTGGTGAAAATGGCTGCTTAAAGACTTAGTCTTTTGCTAATTGTAAACAACTAATTGTTGATATGTAAGAGAGGCAGGGAAGTGTCTCTTCTTAAAAGTAATAGAGCTAGGAATAGCACTTTCTATTGTTTATAAACAGTGTCATCATTTTTTGCTTGTGCAGAGCTAATAAACAAAGACTTAACTAGCTGTGGCATTCTTGAGGTAAGTTGTTGGTACAGAAAGAGAATTCATTCAGTTAGGATTATATTAAGGGATTAAGTCACGTGGAAAAAATTTATACGGAGGAATGTTGCATTACTGGTGTTTAAGGCAGTTTTCTTGCCCTTTGCTTTATGCCTTGGCTGGAGTGACCACCCAAAGTACTAGCCAGTACAGTCGGCCCTTAACATACGTGGGGGTTAGGTAACAGAGATACCCGTAAATGTTAAGAATCCGCGTATTTTTGCTGCCCCCCCCTCCCTAAAAACACCCCTGGCCCCCCCATGTCCTTATTTACCATATATACCTGTGTGTAGTTCGAGTTTTTAAGACCAAATTTTTTGGCAAAAAATTGAGGGTCGACCTCTAAACGGATAATAGTTTCGTTAGGTTGAAACATATTTACCAGTAACTACCAGTAAACAATGGAAACGACGTACCACCAGCTGTGAGTGTCGTTACAGTTGCCAGGGCAGATCTCTTGCGTCATCATAGCAAGTCCAAAGTAGCCAAATGCATGGTATGGTAGCACAGGACGATGTAAAACATATACTGTAATATTCATTTTTTAAAGTTTATTTATAGATACATAAATTTTTTTTCATTACATTTGAAACATCAATCTTTGTTAATTAAATTTGAAACAAAAGAAAACTACGATACCGTATTTCTAAATACCGGGTATTTTCATTAAAATATTACATCACAGGTATATTTTACCTTAACTGTGACTGAATGAATATATTCGGTAATATTTTTGCTGAAATGACGTACGTATTACAGTGGAAAGTGGGATAAAATCATGACGAAAACAATGACTTGCGCTTTCTTTCGTTGTTCAAAAGATTTTACTGTAATTGCTTTTCGAATGGTTTTCAGTTGAAAAACTGTTGTATTACAATAATATTCTATCGTAAATTGAAAAAATACTACGATACCATATTTCTGAATATTTTCATTAAAATTCATCAAAATCATTTTCCTTGTCATCATCTGCAGCACCAAACAGCTACTCCCAGTCCTCTCCTTGAACAGCATCGTCATATGGATCAACACCATCATCAGCCATAGGATCATTAATATCATCCTCATTCACGCTCTCATTAGCCTCATAATCCCACCACAAGTCGTCTTCTGTTCCATCAAGAGCATTCGAAAAACCACATTTCTTAAAAGATTTCACCATAATTTCTGGTCTGATTGCGACCAGGGCTCTGCCGTATCAGCTAGACGGTACACGTGTTTTTCGAATCGTTTTCAGTTAAAAAACTGTTGCATCACAAGTGAATTAGGATAGAATATTATTGTAATACAACAGTTTTTTAACTGAAAACCATTCGAAAAGCAATTACGGTAACATCTTTTGAACGAAAGAAAGCGAAAGTCATTGCTTTCGTCGCTTTCCACTGTAATACGTACGTCATTTCAGCAAAAAAATATTACATTTCCATATTCTCAGAAATAAATAGTAGTTTTGCTGAAACGTAATGTATTTCAATGTAAATTAGGATAAACTACATGAAAACAAAAGACTTTATCTAACCTTCCGACGCTCAGGATATGTTACTCGTTTTTTGTAATACTTTTCGGTTAAAATACTGTTATATTAGTGATATTCTATTCATACTGTGCTTGATATAATACATTCACGGAAATGTAATATTTTTGCAACTACAATGCTGATGTCAACACAAGCGTGGTTACAGCGAGACTGACTGACTGAGGGAACGCGGGGTGGCGCAGGCGATGTGTGTGGTGTGCAGTGTGTGGTGTCGCGCGCGATTTGAATAATGTATATTCCTTTGAATGTATATTCCTCCAGCGGCAATCCGTGTAAGTTAATCCCGTGTATGTTAAGGGCCGACTGTACTTGCAAATAACTGATTGAGACTCTTGTTACATAAACAAAAGAAATAAAAACTTTTAAGTTACTTTAGGCATATAAATACTTTGTTGGTGCTCATAACAATGTTTATTCTCAGAGGATAGTTGAGAGTTTTATCAGTGAAAGTGTGATCCCTTCTCAGGGTTGTAATGAGAATCCTCACCAGCCATGGTTTTGCCTGAATAGAACCTGTCTGGTGTGCACTGTGCATATATGGCTGGTTTAGTATTTATATGAATCGGTTTTAATCTTATATATTTATTAGCTGTTCCATATATTGTTGCTGGCTTCTGTACTTCTTTCCTGGGTCTACTTCATGGTCATGTACTGTCCCGAGGCTAATCATTTTACGTGAAACTTGCACACATTCAAGATCGTCGCCAGGTCATTTTAGAAGTAAGCAATGAATTATATTTTTATTTTTTAATGCATTTTTAACAAATTGAAATCTCTTTATATGAAAACCTTTCTTAAATGTAAGTTTACAAAAATACTTCAAACACTAAAAGTGGGCCCATGTTTGTAAAGAATTAGATAAAGAAAGTAGTGAAAATTCAGAATTTCTACATTTTTTATTGGTAAAAGAGTTTTATGCCAAAATTTAAATTGGCTCTTTACCAGGAGTAATGATGTACCATATTGTATGAGTCATAGGGCCTCACTAGGCCATGAAATATTAGAAACAATATTAAGCCCTGGGCTTCGGGCTATGGTCGGTATACCCCCCTCCCCATGTGGGTATATACGAGAACATTTAAAAAACAAATAAAAAAAATTCTAATCTTACAAACTGGCCATGTATGGTATAAACAGGTTAATAAATACATGTCCTTACCTCAGGTTGGCAACACGGGCTCAGAAGAGTCAAGCATGTTCGTGAAGTGGCGTGTGTGACTCGACAGTAATGAGATAAACGGCACTAATTTGTAGGCGGTATGAAGTACAGGACACTTGTTTTATAATGTTATTAATATTTACACTATTTCCAATCATTATTACTACTCCAGTATTGATCACGATACTAGCCTCGTACTTGGGGGTTGGAAACTCGTGGTGAAGAGAGTAGAGTTCATGGGTGATATGACTACATCACAAAAGCCGAGAAGAGACTGGAAGGCTCCCATGTGTGAGAGAGTGAAAGATAAATACTTACTTGGCAACATAATCTAACCAGGCCTGCACTTTTTATTAAAATAGGCCCGCCAATGATCAAAACGTCATATGATGCGACTCAAAGCTCTACAGACGCATGACATATGATGTGACCCAAAGCCTAGGAGTTAAAGGAGGCTAAGACAAAAACCGAAAACAGTAGACATGGTATCAAAGTTTAAAAGGAGTTTGAAATTACATATATCTGAAATAAGTTTAGTCAATAAACCAGAGAACTTTCAGATGGTTTCCAATCTTTGCATCTAATGATAACTTTGGCAGAGTTTTGGGTACTGTTACCAGTATAGGGAGGTCTGCCCCTTTGGTTATATTTCTGCTACAGTATTCAGTGTGTCATGTTACAAAATATTGGCATAAGTGAAAATTGCTGTTATGTTTGCCTACAAAAGATTATATTTTCGCTTCTCTCTACACAAAATGAGATTTCATGTGGAGTAAAGATACTGTACCTTATACTGTACCGTACAGTTCTATACAGTACTTCTTTTATTCAGTGGAATATATAGTCACTTATACAAGTTTTATTTCACCCACATGACACTCAAGCAAAAAACAAGTTGTTACTTCTCTAGTTTTCCTATAAGAATGTAAATGCTGTATGGTAAAAAATTAAATGTTTTACATTTCTACTTCAAGGTGGACAATCAAATATGACAAGATCTTATCTTAACAAGAAGTATTCTAAAATGATGTACTGTATACCAAAGAAGAATGATTTAACACAATTATAAAAAAAGGACAATGTTATGTTTAACCAAATATTTTACCAAACAAAAAACTGTTTACTTCAAAAACTTGGAAAATAAAATAATTTTTTTAAATACAAAATGCAGATGCAGGCACTGTACTGTAAAAGGATGGTAAAAATTATTTATATCAGGTAAGAAATGTTGTAGTACTTGAAGAGTGTCATTCTTAGAAGAAATATTAATAATTATCCAAAAGGAGAATGTTTCCTACACAAGAAATACTGTACTAGTTTAAAATTACATGGTCTCATTTTATAATGGAACCAAATACATACTCATGAAACTATTATTTCTAAAGACTAATTTTATAGCTGGAAGAGGCAGCTGTAGAAATCCTTCAACTATAAATTATATTCTCAGGAATTCAACATGAAATATTCTTACAAATATTGTTTAGTTATCGTATTTTGTACTACGTAATTAACTTGTTCCATTCTGAAAAATAGAGTAACTGTATAGTTTCACTTCTGATGAGACCATAGTCATATTCTTTGTAAATTATAAACTAGGCAGTACACTGGCTGCATCAGTATGAGGGTCAGTGTTGTCATTATTTATGTCATTACTGTAGATGTTTGTCTTAAAGCTTTTGTAATTATGAAAATCTTGATGGAAATTAAAGGCAGCTTCTGCCATAATTTATAAAAAGTATTATCATTGCATTATCACTGTAATGTATTGACCGAGAATACATACATGCTTAACCTTTCAAGTGCAGCTGTTCCAAGATGTCTTAGGTAAATATAGCAACCTTCATACTGTACAGTATTTGTGTACCTACATATGTATATTTTCTGTTCTTTACCTTATGTCATCCCCTTTTTTATTTTGTCTTATGTTTTTCTTTTCTCTCTCTGCACAGTTATTCCATTTTCCCCTTTCTTACTTTTGTTTTCTCCCTCAAGAACTAACTAAAATACCTGTATAGCTTCTTTTTTTTTCTCACTCAAGAACTAAGTAAAATGTACTTTTTGCCACCTTAAAATTAACCAATATACTGTTAGTCTAATTTAGATATTTATGTACAGTAGCTAAAACAACTATCTGTGCAGGTGGGGGTCGATATGCTCCAAATTATACGTGTGACTAGTGACAACCTTCATATACCAAATTTTATCGTCCATGATCTCATATTGTTTCCCACAAAGTATGCACAGATAGTTGTTTTAGCTACTGGACATGTATATACAGTATAGATTTATGTATATGTATGTATTGATTTACAGTATATACATGCTATCATCTATTATTTGATGTACAGTATCTTCTTGTATAAAATAAACTGTTTCCCACACTTAGAGCAAGGTGTCACATGCAGAATCTTGACAAACTAGAGTCTGACCAAACATCTCACTAACACAGTGAAATTTCAGATATGTGACATTAGCCCTCATGTGCATTGGTCTTAACTCAAACTGAAGTGAAACATTTGGCTTCTGTAGATACCTTAAGAATGTACAGTAACTGGAATTTGAATCATGGGGTCTTCAGCTGATTAGTTTACACAGTGATGTTGGTGGGTAGGTCAGACCAACTGTAGCTAAACAAGAAATAGCAAGTTCCCAGTATATTCAGAACTTAAGGTTGAACTGGACCAGGAATTTGATATACGAGTATGGAAGTAGCCTGAAAATGAATCATTAATGGTGCTCTAGAGGCTATTTCTCTTGTCCTTGATCCATCCATACCTTAAGTTTCTCATAGTTACTGTATTACTGAGAAGGTCCACCAGGTTCACTTCCTTCACTCTTTTCTGAGTCATCTCCATGTACATAAGAGATAGCTCATGAAATAATATTTTGGTGCATTTACTATATGATCTGTTACAACAGTTGCTAATTCTCAAATGAAAATCCTTTGTAAATGGAAAGTTGAAGTCTATAAAGACTTTAAGGGCAAACCTCAGGGTAAAATTAGGAACTTATATGCTTCTCTAAGCCTTGGTGAGAATATCCTTGTCTTAAGGACATATATTATGTATTCAGTGGAAGCTGGAAATACCTGATCCTTATGGGGTTGAAAGGTGATGTTCATCTGATCAGTCAATTGTTTTGCAGTTGTTTATAAGATAATTCTATCGACAGTAAACCCTTCACACTTCCGGACCTCTCAGATCCGGATTTCGGTTGGTTTGGATGTGGGAAATTCATATCTGGTCTCTCAGTCCGTACGCCTGTCACCTTTACTCTGCCGCTGCTAAAATGGACCCTGTCTGCATCTCCCACCATTACTCACCGCGTGCCGTTTATAGAGTAATACATTGACATAATTATTATTGTTCTTGTTATTGCTGTATTATTATTTAATACTTTCATTACTGTTATAATTAATACCATATTATTATTGTTATTATCATTAATGCACCTTCATCACACAGTCTATTCGAACATTTGCAACATCCTGACGCCCTTTCCCCCCTAATTGTCTGGAAGTGCGAGGGTTTACTGTACTTCTTAGTTTAACTGCTTTGACAACAGAAAGTTGGATACATTTAGGTCATGTGTTCTTTTTAACAAGATCTCAACGAGGCAGAGAATGTAACTAACTGGTTAATTGTGTGTAAGGGATTCCATGTCCTTTGTATTATCTATTTATTTACAGAATAAATTTTTATACAACTAAATTATACTTCAAATATGATTTTTTTTTTCCCTCACTTATATACATGAAGTTAAAAGATTCTGTGTTGACAACCTTGCTCGAGAGGGAAAGAGCATACTGTACAAAGTTTCTTTCTTGGGTTGAAGTAGCAGGGGCCCAAAGATTCAGAACCCTTACATGTTTGTCACTCCTTGTAATTGGTCATTTAACCCTGAAGCTCCATTTCCAGAGCTTTGGTTACCTCGGATATGCACAAAAATATTAGCATTTTATATCTTAAAACAGAGTATGAGTATTTTCCTTTTTAGTAGGGCTGGCAGGCTCGTAACATTGCCTCCACAAGCAAGTTTGCTGCACATTGTGATAATGTTCCATAACACAAGTACCGTACTGTACAAAATTACTGAAACTCTTATAAGTACATACTACAGTAAAATCTCAATGATACGAGTAGGTATGTTCCATGGAGTCTGCTCGTACAGTGAAAACTCGTATAACGGAGGGAGTAATACCTGGGTTAAATAGGGATGCATTCCCGAGCACCAAGTATAGCGATGACGGTAAATAAATGCGATTCCGTTCGAGCGGACAAACTGGAATAGCAGATTCAAACACTGGGGAGAGGACGTTAGGTAGGTAGGGGAGGGGTGCACGGCCTAGCTGAGTGGCTCACAAACACGACTCTGCGCATCTACGACACAAGAGATGTCGCAGACCACGTCACTGCTTGTTTCGCCAACTTGGCTGGGTAAACTGAGCAACACAGCAGCCAAGTTAGACTCATCACAGCAACCACCAGGCAGGCTACTGGGCCAAGTTGTGAGGTGTTATGGTTGTTTTTCAACTCGTATTTTCAGGTAGATACAGTCTTTCCTCGACTTACGACAACCCGGACATACGACCGCCATGGTCGTATAAAATATTATTCACTTTACGTATTTTCGAGTCCCAAAACGTTTGGTTGTAATGTGAACCCGTACGACAACATGGACTGGGCCGCCTCGTGGTGTACAGCATCCACGCCGTAGCCCACTCGGTTGGTGTTTGGCCGTCGTTGTTGTTGTTAGTGATCACGCTGTGTACTGTCAAAATTTTTGCATTTAATTCCCTTTAAAATGGTTGGCAAGGGTAAAAGTGAGAGTTCTCGTGGTACTGAGAAGAAAAAGAGACAGTCAATTACTTTTGAGATGAAAATGAAAATAATAATGCAATATGAAATGGAAAAACGGTAGCAACCATTTCACGCAACCTAGGCCTCTCTCACTCGACGATATCAACAATTTTGAAGAACAAGGAACGAATTCGGGAGGTAGTGAAAGGATCAGCACCTATAAAGGGAACAATAATAACGAAAAAAAGACAAGGTCCTCTTCATGAGATGGAAAAATTACTTGTGATGTGGATGGAAGATCAGCTGCAAAAGCCTGTCCCCTTAAGCCTTCTAACCATACGGGCTAAGGCAAGAAGCCTTTTCGAAAGCCTGAAAGAGCAGGCAGGAGATGAGTGTGACCAAAACTTCAGAGCAAGTCATGGGTGGTTCCAAAGGTTTAAGAAATGTTACAGTTTACATAGTGTAAAGGTGAGTGGAGAGGCAGCAAGTGCTGATGTGGGTGCTGCCGAAGCTTTTAACGAGGAGCTAGATCGTGTCATCGTGGAGGGAAATTATTTGCCTGAGCAAATATTTAATGTGGATGAAACTGGCTTATACTGGAAGTGCATGCCAGAACGGACATACATCCACAAAGAGGCGAAAACCATGCCGGGATTCAAGGCATTCAAGGACCGAATCACACTTCTGTTGGGGGGGAAATGTAGCTGGTTTCAAGGTAAAACCCTTCATGATACATCATTCAGAGAACCCCAGGGATTTTTAAAATGTCAGCAAACACACACTGCCAGTGTTTTATCACAGTAATAAGAAAGCAAGGATGACCTTAGCACTGTTTGAGGATTGGTTCTTGAGTTGTTTTATTCCACGAGCCGAGGAGTATTGTCTGCAACAAGGGGTTGCGTTCAAGATTTTATTAATTTTAGATAATGCTCAGGGACACCCACCACACCTGGATGACCTGCACCCCTGATGTTAAAAGGTAGTCTACCTTCCACCTAACACTACCTCTATCATCCAACCTGTGGATCAAGGTGCTATTGCTGCTTCTAAAGCGTATTATTTACGTATGACCTTCGCTTAGGCTGTTGCTGCTACTGAAGGTGAGAAAACTCTCAGAGAGTTTTGGAAGGACTACAACATTTAGCAATCTATAAAGAACATAGCTGCAGCATCATATAGGTCGATGCATGAATGGAAAATGGAAGAAGGTCCTGAAAAGATATGTGAACAGTTTCAGAGGATTTAATGAAGATGAAGTAATTTCTGAGTTTAGTAACAAGATAGTGCAGATGAGTCAACAGCTGGAGTTAGAAATTGATAATGAAGATGTTGAGCAGTTGGTTGAAAGTGCAGCAGAAGAGCTAAGTAACGAGGATCTTATTGAACTGGATGCACAGAAAATTGCAGAGGAAGAAAAGAGACAAAATGTAGAAGAAGAACCTGCACCCTGCAAAAAGTTTTCAGTGAAACAAATGGCAGACTATTAATAAGGGGATGCAAATGTTTGAAGAAATGGATCAAAATGTTGAGCGTTTTGCAAAAGTTGACAGAATGATCCAAGATGCACTTGCTTGCTACAGGGAGATTTACAATGAAATGAAAAGGCAAACTGTGCAGTCTAAATTGGACATATATTTTAAGAAGTCCCCCACTGCTGTCTCCTCACGCCCCACCAGTGCTGTCTCCTCACTCCCTAAAGATGATCCAATACTTTCAACAAGCAAGTATGTTAGCCTGTCTGAAGAAAGCGAAATTGATGACCCACCCAGCCATGTCTCCTCCTCTGCTTCATTCAATTAATGTAGTCTCCATGTTTAATTAAAAATTATTGAGGCCCCTTGTGCATCCAGCTGACTACATTAAAGGTAAGTGCACAGTAACACTTTATTCATTTTTCATTGTTGATTACTTTTACTGTACCGTATTTCATTTTAGAATTTCTATGTACAGTATTAATTTCGCCTTTTCGACTTACGACCTGGTCGTCGGGAGAGACTGTATACCTGTATACCTTCATTTATTTTTACTCATTTACATGCACACCATCCTACATACATATTGTGAAAAAAGTTAAAGAAATAATTGTCCTCGGGGCAAACCTGTACTCAAATGTACTAAGTTAATTACTAAAATTTTTATGTCTAGTGCAAACTATGTGATGTTTGTACTCAAATTAATCACAATGTTACAAGAATTCCAGCTATGTAAGTTACCGTATATTTGCCAAGTCATTTCAGTGACATTTTATAAGCAATAAACTTAAACTCCCTCAAAATGACTGATAAATAAATACGCACTTGATAACCTTCGCCGCCCTGCTATTGTGGGGTACGAGTTGTTGGTTCACACTCAGGATGGGATGGAGAAAGGAAACTCACAATGTGCTCTCTGTATACATATTATATTGGATGTACAGTGCAGCTTGGTGGCTGGTGCTGGGAGGAGGCAGCGTGGTTACAAGCGTGAGTAGGGAGAGCTAGTTGGTGAGGGTGCTCAGAGGAGGTGTTGCTTGCTGCGGCTGTAGCTAGAAGAAGGGGCAGGTCACGGCCAGGTGTGGTCTTATATAGCGGGGGTAGGCTTGGTTTGATGGTAGGCCCCCGCTTTGTTCGGTGTCGCTGGTTACCTGACCTTGACCACGAGGGATACGCTGGTAGATTCGCGGGGGGTCGGCCAGTCAGCGACATGGCGTTTGTAGGGAAGGAATCCACTATAATACTCCCCCTCCCCTCCGGGCGGGAGACTCGTTGTCGGCAGGGTTGTATCCCACATGTGAGACATAACGGGCGGGGGTGTGGATGAGCCGGCGGCTACCGGAGACGACTCTGTCTAGAGACACGAGGTCTGTGGGAGAAGTAGAGGGAGGAGTCGGTTTGTGGATAAGAGAAGGTTTTACAGGCGAGGAATGTGGTGCTTCTCTCGCAGCGGGTATGCAGTCCTCAGTGGCGCAGGGTGGGGTGTCTGGGTCCGCGTCAGGAGCAGGGGCCACGTCTGGAGGAGGGTCCATGACAGCAGGAGGGTGCAAGACAGGCGCAGTGGTTACCTGAGGAAGAAAAGAGGGTGCCCAGAAATGTGGGCGAGGTGGTGCTGCAAGGGGTAATTGTGGGCAGACTAGCGGAGGTGTGGGATGAATGTGTTCAGGGCGGTGGAAAGGCTGGCGTGGGGCAGTAGCCTTGAATGCAGAAACCGCTTGACGTAGTGTTTGTGGTAGGTCGTGACGGGCAGCAGGAGTGAAGTGGTCAAGGTCAGAAGTAAGGCGTGTGATGTGCTGCTTGATAGTGGCGGAGGGTATGGCGCCTACCCGTCTCCGTCGATGTAGCTTCCCCGTGTGGTTGCAGGGGGCCTCACAGCATCTAGCATTAGCACCAAAACGTTGATGGTACCAACAGGGGGTAGATACACTGTGCTGGGGGCTGGGGGCGGCGTCTGAGGCAGGACGGGTGTGTTGGGGTCGGTAGGACGTGGTGCGTGAGTTAGGACCAGGTCCAGCAGCAGGCATGGAGGAGCAGAACTGTTCAATGGTGTCCATTCTACGGACCAAAGTTTGCAGCAGGTCCCTGATGTCTTGTGAGGTACTGCTCGGCTGAAGGGGTGTTGACCCTGCTTACAAGTTCGGAGGTAAGTACTGGTGTGGGTGTGGGGTTGTCCGCAGCCGCCAGGCACGCAGCCGCGCACTCATTCAACACTGTGCTCCTACACTGGGCAGTAGAGGGTGTGTGTGTGGGGCCTGGCTGACTGTGTGTGATTGAGGGCTCTGGAGGACTGTGTGTGTTGGAGGACTGTGTTGGAGGGCTGTATGTTTTGGAGAACTGTGTGGACTGACTGTAGAGACTGATATTAGAGTAATATTAATATAAGTTGTAGTGATAGTATAAATATACAGGACCACATGCCTATTGGTTATGAGAGAAAATTAGTAGAAGTAA